AGGATGAGGCAGTATTATGAGGCGATTTTCTAATGTATTTAAATGGGAAAACCCGTTTCACTATCCCACCCTTTACATTTTAAGGATCTATGAAAAGGTTTTTTTAGTTGCATTTTATTTTGTACATTGTCAATCTAGTAAAATAGAAGTATAATATAGCTTTGAAATAATATAATCTGTGAAGTATAAATAGTTTGTGTGAGATTGCTTTAATGGAAGTATATAATACATAAATATTAATTTTATTGAGAATAAGCGATTATAATTTAAACTATGGAGTACAAACGATTGAAACATGAATCGTCGACCATTCCAACAAAATATAACAAGACATTGTATATGTGTTATTTGGTCCACTAAGTTTTTGCAAAAAAAAAAAAACCAGTACAGTGGGATCGGGGCATAGTGGGGACGGAGCATAGTTGGGTCGGGGCATATTGGGGACGGGGAAGTCACAGGTTTACAGGAATTTTTAAATCTGAAAGTGATAAAATCACTTTCGAAAAAACGCTTCGATGCAAATCGGTAGTTAGTATTTTCAAGCCAGTACAGTCCAAACCAAGCACAGTATAAACCAGCAAAGTTAGAAAGTTTTAAATGAAGGTTCTGTATTTACAAATGAGCATCAAAGCGTTTATTTGAAAGCGATTTTATTCAATTTTATCACTTTTATTTATAATAATTCTTGTAGACCTGTGACCTCTCCGTTTCTTCATTGCTTTGATTACATTATGCCAATACTCTACTGTACTAGTCCTCTCGGATAAAATCACTTTCAAATTAACGCTTTGATGCTCATTTGTAAATACAGAACCTTCATTTAAAACTTTCTAACTTTGCTGGTTTATACTGTGCTTGGTTTGGACTGTACTGGCTTGAAAATACTAACTACCGATTTGCATCGAAGCGTTTTTTCGAAAGTGATTTTATCACTTTCAGATTTAAAAATTCCTGTAAACCTGTGACTTCCCCGTCCCCAATATGCCCCGACCCAACTATGCTCCGTCCCCACTATGCCCCGATCCCACTGTACTGGTTTTTTTTATAAATAACGATACTATAATGCGAATAGAATGGCTTTCAGCTGTAGTAATGTGTGTGTTATGTTGTCTAGGACGTTTTCGACGATATCCGAGTAACCGCCTTCAGTATGCCGTTCGTTTATTGTACATTAATCATAATACATAATAATATATTGTCGGACGCCGTGATTTCATTGAGTCATTATAAAATTGAGATTAACTGGAATTTTCAGACGTATGGTATATGTTTCATCAATATTACAGAAAAAGCAGATTTTCACGATAATCTTCTAAGATCTATCAACCGTTAATAAATAATATTAAAATTTTAATCGATAAATAATGTACTGTTATAATATAAGATATTTAGGTTTACTAAAATCTCTTTTTCTTATGGGAGATTTGAAAATATATTCACATAGTTTCAAAAAAAAAAACACAAACATGAAAATGTATAATTCTGAGCAATTTTGGTCTTGACCGTTTCTTCGGCAGGGAGTGCGACTATGATGAATTGCAATTTGCATAATATATATTAGTTAACTATTAAGTAAGACTGTAGGGGTATTCATGCTAAATATTTGAAATTTAAAATATTTGGATAATCTAGAATTATGCAGGTTAATGACAGGATTACCGCAAATAAAGGTAAAACATCAAATACGGGTTATAACTAACGACATACACATGTATAAGTATATCGATTATTTAACAATTTCTCTCAATGATTTGTTAATTTAAACAATAGCTGTTATCACTATATTATACAGTATGCTTGTTGATAAAAATACTAATAAAATATCTAAGCAAATAACTAAGTAGAATTAAACAGTTACTACGTTGTATTAATTATAAAATCACTATCCTAGGTATACCAAATAATATGAACTACAATTATAAGTCATTATTCATTTCTACAAAATGGGTTTCGGAATAATTATATTTTATCCGTCAATGTATTACAATACAATTATTATTATTATACTAACTATTTTAATTTGTTTTATTTACTAATGAATAATTAATAGTTATATTAAAATCACGTTGGGTTCTATCACTGGATAGCCTCCCTCCTCGTACAGCATCACCGTTTTCTTCTCTCTCTGTGTATATAACAATGTAACAATTTGCTCATTATGTCTCGCAGCATAGATTGTAAATATTCTTCAGTAAATAAAAATTTTAAAAATTTAAAATAAAAAAAAAATTATATTTTTTGCATTGAAAAATTATTTTTAATTTTTCTCGTCTGAAACTTTGGGTATCTGTCTACACAGTAGATAACTGATAAACAGAATTTGTTTTAAAATTACTACTAGTACTTAGATTGGTTTCAACAAAACGAGACCTTCATAAAATATTGGTTTACTTGGTTGTGCTTGTGTGTACGGATTTTCATTTTAAAAACCCCATTCAACAGTAATTATTCAAACAAACACTTCTGGTGTATAGTTTTTCCACCAAATACCATCAACGATTAGTTATAAATATGCATAGCATTTTTTTTTTAGATCTTTCAAATTCCGGTTGTTAATTTTCTATTAGCCATTAGGTAAGTTAATAGTCAAAGTGGTATAATTCTTGTTGCGTTGTTGACAACAATTATTATCAATAATTATATAATACTTAGTTATAGTTTTTAAAAAACAAATATTTGTTTCTGTCTATAAGAAAAAAATATCATAATGATTAATGGATTTCTCAAGCATTTGATGTACACTTATGTAAATAAACGCAAAAAAAAATAATAGTTATCTATATCAGCGTTACTTTTTAAAAACATTCGTATTAAGTTAAATATTCATAATTTTTGTTTAAAGTTGGACCGCAGTTAGTACGCAGTCTAATAATAATAAATGTAAATTATACTAAATTCTTTAAAAAAAATAAGTGTATCAACTATACTATATCGCAGATTCGTTATCAAACGTTTCATTTGAAGTAGTTGTTAGAAAATAATTGCTTTCGAGATCAGGATGACTCGTATGCGTTGTAACTTTTAGTATATATACGGTCGTCAGTCGGCTCAATGAGTCACATGCTGTTTGTTCGTACCAGTTTAATAGCTTGATTATTACAACTGTTAGCACATCAATTTCAATTGCATGTTGTGGCAATACGATTTTGTTTGGATATCGTTTTGGCATTTCCTTGTAAAGGATCAGTGACCGTTAATGTTAATAATAACAACAATAATAACGTACATTTAACACCCCGAAGGCAAAAGTGCCACATTTACATAATAAATTCCAAATTATGAATGGTATCTTAAAAACAAATCTAGTACAGTGGGATCGGGGTATAGTGGGGATGGAGAGGTCACAGGTATACAGGAATTATTACAACTGAAAGTGATAAAATCACTTTTAAGTAAACGCTTCTATGCGAATCTGTGGGTAGTATGTATAAACCACACATAGTAACCTTGAAATGACTACGGTCAAAGCGTAATTTTCCCCAATTTTTTTTCGGTTTTTTATTAATAAAAAAAATGTTTGACTACAGATTTTTGAAGAATTTGTATATGTTATAGCTGCCATCTAGATCTACCTTTCGTCTAATTTTCATACCTATATAAATATAAATTATTTGGATGTATTTCTTAATTTTTAAAGGGAAGGGATTCATTTTTAAAATTTTTAGTCTAATAAATTACCTTAGAAGTACGATTTGAGATATTAGGAGCTGCTACACGAATAAATCGGTCGGCTTAAAAGATATCGTGGGTACAGACACAAAAATGTAAAAATAAAAACATATGATTTTAAGTACAATACCTTCTCAGCTATCGCATCGAAGCTAAAAGAAATAGTTAAAATAAATCTGAGTTAAAATAAATTTTAATCTGACCGCACATATTGTCGGTGAACCAAACTAGGTAGCTCGAAGCCCTTGCTCGGTTACCTACTCATCGGAGAACGTAAACAATCTACTAGTGCGTGTACAGGTCACCTGTTTGCTCTAAATATTGTGCCATCCGTATTTGAAATATTATAAATCCTTTGGGGGCATTGACTCTCCTCTGCGTTGGCGATCATTATAGATTCGCGCTAAATTGCGCTAACAAAATAATCGTTTTACGTACGCGGTCTGCCGGGTTTTAACGCCTTTTTGAACATGTCGCAGTAAAAGAACGTACTGCGTTTGTTCGCCTTTAAGGTAGTGCGTATAAAAAGCAACAGGAATTGTCGCAATACCGTCAATGACACTCCAAGTGTTGGTGCCGACGGTCAGAATACCCATATAGTAACAGTGGCCCTTAAACAGAGAGCACGAACCGACTAGGATGCAGGTAAAGTAATACTGTAAAATATCTTAATAAATAGTTTGTAGGCGTTGAAGTCTACGGTTTTCAAGGAAGGCTATGTGTCGCCAAATGTTCTCCACCACGCCGGTTTATCAGTTCCAGTGATTAACTTGACTATGAGTGCTTCAGATAAGTACTTTCTAAAAGCCCGAAAAATCGAGTTCCAAACGTAATCGGTGTGCAAAGGCCTCGATGGCCTATAATTATTATTACTGTTAGCCGTTTTTAATAATTGTATTTATATGCCGGTGTTTTGCCCGTCGTCCACGGTTGAACACGATGATTTTTTAACAGATCCCCACTCGACACTTATACACGTGTTATAGCGGCGTAAGTACTTTGTCAGGGAGACCTGCGCCTACATACATGTAAACTCCATTTGGCTTATCGTTTGTTACACGGGGCACATATTATTATCACCTGACCGTCGAGTAACAACACAATATATTATATTTAATATCGTAGCTGCACAGCGCGTTACCCATATTATTGTTATGCTGTGTGTGTTTACTTTAACAAGCCTGCCGAAGAATTCGGTCACCGCATATCGGTCATCGGGTACTGTAGGAATAATAATACTACTAATAGATTTATAATTATTTTACCTAATTTGATAAAACGTGGGTGATATTGTTCTAATGTTTTTTTTTTTGGGGGGGGTGTTTGCACAGGAACTAAAGAAAATATTGAGTCAGACGTTTTTCTCCGAAACGGAGCAAGAACTGAAACAAAACTACGTGAACCTATGCAAACAACTACCATCGTACGCCACCAGACTTTACAAAGTCAAGGAAGTCTCACGGCACCGGACCAACCCCGGTGTAAAGGTATGTACACTTTGACACTTTTTATTAAAATATGTACTCCGATAATATGTATTCTAACAAAAGCCAAGACCAGTCGTTATGGTCTTTGCCGCTTGTCCGGTACAATAGTTTAATATTTTATTTGTATTGTATGATATTTTATAACAATTAATAGATACAATAACAATAGTAGTATCGTTTACGGGATGAATATGTTAGGCACGGGACACTTATTCGAGAATTTCTCAAAGTCAATTGTCAAGCGTTAACTTCACTCTAGAACCGATACTAATGGGTGGCAAAACGCATAAATCGATCTCTGTTCTAATTATTTCGTACAAATCACGCGATCAATTTGCTTTAAATCCCAAATCGAAAAGCAAACACAATGAACCGCCATTAAACGGTGGTAACGAAGAGTCAAGACACTGAATTTGTAGTCGGTAATGTGTTGGTGCCAGGTTGTTCATAGGTCGGTTGTTAGGTTTTTATTGCGTGTATGTGTGAGTGTCATCCACAACTTATTTAGATTCCGGGTACGATTTCTTTCTAACGGATAATTAACAACATAACGTTGGTTATTGTTGAGAAGCTATAAACGATTTGTTTTTCATTTTCGTTTTCTACTCTCCAACGTTATGTCTACTGACAAAGTAATCAAATATTTAAATAGATGGATATTATACGTAAAATTACTCTCTTATCAAAAAACATAAATTCTTAAAAGCTTACATTTTTACTAATATGTAGTACAAAGGAATAGGTCCAGCGGGCCAGCCAGAGGGTTCTAGATTTAGTACATCCTAATTGCCTCCCATAGGTAATGGGTGAAATTATATACCAGTTGTCTCTGGACTACTATCTAAACTGAATGCAGTGAAGTTTATTTCGGATTGGAAAGTGTTAGACGTTAGGTCAAAAATCACTTGTTACCTCCCCGTTAGATAATACATATTTTTCATCCAAACTGCCCACCGTTAAGATCGATTTTCGAAAAATTAAAAAAAAATAATCACAAAAATCGAATACTCAAATCTCAATCGACTTTTAGTATTGCCGCCATAAATCATCAGAAATTTCGTTAGAGTTTAGGAAGGATAAGTTAAAAAATTATTTCAGTTCTTTTTTTTTTAAATAAATATTACTTACAGCACGCGATGCTGTATGTATCGCCATATATTTTCCTCTAAGTGAAAAAAATCTTTTGACTACAGCAGCAGTGAAAATATTTATAATTGCCACATGTTTTGCTTTATCAAAGTCAGCATAAATTATGCGTGAGGAACAACTTAAATTCAAGTGTTGAATTTTTGAACATAGTTTTGTGTAAACCACTAAAGATGATTCCATTCTTTTCAGCAATTCGGATGCGCCAAATTATTATAGTAAAAGATAAAAACTAGTCTGACCATTGTGAGTGTTAGGAGCCTTGTATTTAACTGATATTTTACTCTAATACTGTTTACACATTACTCATAAATGGTGTATTTGTACGCATTATATTTATGTGTTTGTTTTGTCTGCGTTTTTAAGGGTACACGCTTGTTGGGACTAAGCTACGATAAACTTGTGTTAATTGACAGTAAGACAAAGGTCGTAATTAAATGGCAAATGACGCAAGATTTGGTTCAAGTGAGTGATTTGCCTAAATAAAATATATTTGTAAAATATAATTCGTTATTGTAAAAACAAATTATTTAGAAAACGATTTTTTTTTATAGATGCTAATAAAACTGAATATTTAACTTGATAATTTGTGTTATGTATTATATAGTGGCAACAACAATCAAACGTGAAATTATATTTGGATTTCCGTAATGCCAAATGGACGCTGGAGCTGCCAACAGACCGTGCGCTGCGGGATGTTGGTGTAGTTTTGTTTCAGATTTTACAAGAAATTGATTCCAATTTTTTGGAACAGTACAGCATTATATCACCGAGTTACCGTAAGAAATTCACAGGTCAGTACATTTTAAATTATATTGTAATAACTAGTTAACTTTCATTGGTTGAAATTGAAGTGGAGGCTTCAAGTTCCCGCAGAACTCAAGCAAGCAAACTACATATCCTCAAATTTTTTTTTTTTGCTTAAATTGTTGGGAATTTTTTTGAATTCTAAATTCCTAAGCGGGGTTAGACTAACTATATAAATATAAAATGTATTAATAAAAAGATTTTAAAAATACCTACATTTTTTCAGGTATTAGGTATTACTACCTAGGGGTTTTAATAAATTTCAACCAAGCCATTTTGTTTTATTTTAGAGCCAAAGCCTGGCAAAATTACGCCGATAGAATGATCAGATTCAGTTTTGTAAAGTGATTTGAGTTCTTTTGACTACTAGATTATGTAGGAAACCGATTTTCATTTAAAAAATTCAGTTTTTTGTTTATATTTTAAATAAATTAAATTTGAAAATTATTTAATATTAAAAGACAACTGTTTTACATGGAATAAGCGAAAAATTCGTTTCCGACATAACTTAGTAAAGTAGCTAAAGAACATATCTTTTTACCAAATTGAAATAGGACCATTCTAAGTAATCGACATTTTGCCAGGCTTTTTAGTCTAAAACGTCAAAAAAATAAATCACTTTCGAGTCTTTTTAAGATTTACCGGTATCCAAACTATCCATTATCAAACGATTTCTTCATTCATTTTTCATAAAAAAAAAAAAATGCAAACAAAACACTATTTTATAAGCAACGGATTTATATATACATATAATATATATATTTTTAATCTGACATGTGTATATTGTTTTAGAAAAAACAAAAATTAAACTGGACGAAGAACTTTGTCCAGAGTTTAACGTATTGCGGCGCATACTACATTTTCCGGAAGAAGTTGCGCTGCTTTTGACTAAAAAAGAAATAGAATTATTCTACAGCGTGCCACCATTGGACTATCTACGGCAAGTAGCCATGGATCAAAATACCCAGTATCCATGTACAACATCGATTAAGATACTCGTGGATAGATTCGTAGCCGTGAGTTGGGCAACTTGTGCACTGTTCGGAATTAGGCCGACGAGACTTATGTTTTTTGTAATGCATTTAGGTAAGTTCTTGGGTGGCACAATTAATCCTGACAATGCGGAAGTACGAACATCGCAAAGCCATACTTTCGTGTATACTTAGGGTGGCAAAAGAATGTTGGAACATTGGCAACTTCAATGGTGCAATAGAAATCGTCGCCGGTTTAAGGTAATTCGTTATTTTAAAATTAAATAATCATTTAATTATCACAATGTATTATAGATATTATATCGAATTTTGGTAACGAAAATGTGGGTTCAATATCATAATACCTAACAAGTCTTTTTTTATTTGTTATTTGAGTTTTTATTAAAATATTTAAATAATACCCGGGTCTGCATTTAGCATTGGATTACTTTTTTCTAGAAGGTATGATTGATATAGTTTACTGGTTTTGTTTTTTTTTTTAATTTATTCAACGTTATTTGATTAGAGAGGTTTTATAGATATTAATCTAAAACTGAAATCATGTACATCAAGCAATTTATTTTAAATTTTAAATCAACTAAATCTTTTATTCGAGTTAACCACATCAGACAACAGATAAAACCAGAGTATAGTACAAAGCATATGTTCAATTATTTTTAAGTTAACGCGGCTCAACTTACATAGCCTTAATCATACATAAAATTAATAAACGGCACTAGGCGTTAAAGAAGAAATACTTGAACATTTTTACCGTGCTCAAGAGTATGATCATTTTCTATGGTCAATATTATTTACGATTTGATTTCTGTATTCTTTGTTGATTTTTTGACATTTTCATGTCTTAGCTCTGGCACATAACCCTGGCAAATAACCGAAAAAAGCGTTACCATAAAAGCGTTATCAAATAATAAAAAGTTTTGACATTTTCATGTCTTAGCTCTGGCACATAACCGAAAATATTATAACGAAAATATTGTAACACAAATATAGTAACGAAAAATGCGTTATCAAAAAATAAATGGGGATGAAGATGAGGTGGGGGTGGGAATGAGGTTGAGGGTGGGAATTAGCTGTGGAAAATAACCGAAAAAAGCATAACGAAAAAAGTGTTACCAAAAAAGTGTTACGCTGTTATCTGATATGAGATAGGGGTGGGATATAGGGGTAGGGGATAGGGGGTTAGTGATAGGGGTAAGATATAGGAGATAAGAGATATGTAGTATGTTCAATATTTAAAACTTTTTTAAATAATAATTCCACAACTAATCTAAATTTATTCGGTACTTCAACGAGACATGAAAATGTTCTATCGTGGTTGCAGACTCGGCTGAAAAATGGCTGATTTTTCTAAATGAATAAACAAAGTGATCAAAAGTAGCAATTTCACTAGACCATCTCACTGCAAGTCTACTCTTAAAGTGGCCGGTCGCGTTATTTTTCTATGATATTAGAAAATAATTCTGTGAAAATTTAGGTTAGATTACTCAACTCATTCACGTGCTGCATAGGGGTTGAAGTTGAGCGAAATAGGATAGTTTGTAGTTTTTCTAAATTTAACCCATAATAGTGTCAATTTCAATATATATTATAATTTTATTTCAACTAAGTGTTTCTGAAAATTTATCCTTATGTTGAAAATCTGTACTCACAAAGAAAAAGGCTACTGCATAACCCAACTGTGTTATAAATACCTATATAGTACAGCTATATATTTTTAACAGCAATCATATAAGTTATAACTATGTCACGTTTTTAGTTTTTTTATTATTCACAGTTACGCCATACTTTATGTTTCGTTTTGTTGAATTCACTTTGGTCGCTAATCTCTGTATTATCTGTTACTTTAGTTTGTATTATATTTAATAATAGGTTCAATGCATCGAGTCTAAATTCTCACTTTTGTACATAGGCAAAAATCCATTAAAAATATCGAAGGAAGGAATCTACTATTTTTCACATGTACCAATGCCGTGAGGGTTTTCGCCCGACACTACCATTACTGTACAGTGTACAAATTTAAAATAAATATTTTTGAAGTAGTTTCAAGTTTTGTGAAGAGGAAATTATACCGTTGATAATAATGATCGGAACAACCGGTATTTTAGAAACGTCCACCGTTGTCAACTGTTGATAATTATGGAATACGATTTACTTAAATAATTGTTGGTACCGGCATTGTGCTTTCAGGTCGGAAAAAGTCAGGTCATTTATGCAAACTGTAATGGAAAAGGAAAAAGTGCCATTTTTGGATTTCCTTAACGAAACCATGCTTTTCCCCGCTCGGTACGAGGGCGCTCTGAAAAGAGCGCTTGCCATGGCCGACTGTCCGGTGGTGCCGTTCTTTGGGACGTTTTTAAGGGAGATACGACAAGTAATGCAAGTCATACCCGAATCTATGGTGTTGTCTTCACTGGACAACGCGACCGCTTTACAGGTATGAATCCACTACGAACAGTGTCCATAATATTATAATAGTAGTAATAATAATAATAGTACTTCATAAGATAATACGTCTTAGAGGAGGACAAATAGTCGAGTAGGTAAGGCGTTGCATTAGTGTGTCTGGCCGGTATCCTACTCTTAACAAATTCCCCAAAAACTATCCCATGACAGTGAATATAATACTTTTTATATTGATAATGCACGGTTTTCCGAGTTAAGTGAAACAAGACAAAAACAAAAAATCTCTACTATTCAGGTGACACTACTGTCATAGAATAAAAATAGGTTTGCTAAAATCAAATTCTGTTTTCATAATATATTTAAAATTTATCGAATCAAGTTAAAATTTATAAGCTGACATTTTTAAACCACTTTTAAAATAATAAATATTTAAGGTTCTTCTTGAATTTTGAATAATTTTTACAATACATTTTTTAGCTTCGATGTGGTGCTGAGAAATTATTTGTTTTATAATTATTAATTTAAATTTGTATATTCCATTCGCCTTCGCGTTTATTTTTTTTATTAAATGTTTCATAACTTTTTTATCTGTTATAAATTCCATTACATAATATAAATGCTGTATTAATTTATAAGTTATTAAATTATTATTCAACTCAGTTTGCCAAAAATTGATTTACTCCTTTTTATCTGTGACTGACCACACTATTTGTAATTCTTTAATAATATGATAACAAATTTCAATGTATAATCTACCATTAGATTGAGCGGAAAATGTCTTATAAAACTGACCAGAAAATGACTTGTGCCCTATTACCCGATAACCTGATCAAATTTGACCACCTTCCAAATCGATTAAATACAATATGTTACATGAAAAAAAAATCATGATTATTTATATTAAACTCTATTTTTCTGGTACGATATTTTATCATTAGCTCTAGTCATTTAAATGTGTTATTCAAGAGGGCCATTATCGGTTGTGCATAATAAATCTACTATAGTATAAACTATAATAATATGCTTCAATAACGTTGTGCAGAAGTCAGAACGGTCATAATATTTTTGTCAAACCGTGTCCGTGATAATAATGCGGTGGCCGGGTTTATTATATTCGGATTGATAATACCGTCAATTGGTCTAAATGAACGGGTCATTATCGGTTGCAGGCTGACTCAATGAGCGCTTTGTGTGTAACGGGGCCGTCAGATTTACAAAATAATTTCCATCTAACTGGGACGCGATCGTCTTAAATTAGTGTGCTGGTAAAATAGAATTACATTTAAAAAAAAAACGGTCCACAATACTTGCGCCAGTTAGTCAGCGCTGGAAATTGATACATACAACGACAGAGAGCGATAGAGAGTGTCGGGGCAAACCACCTTGATGCCGTTTACGTCCTGTTGACCTTTAAGCCGTACCACAATACTGTATACACGTTGATAATTGGTATTGTAGACTATAATAATATGATGTACTCTGCACAACCCTCGGTACATTAAACATAATGATAACGTCGCACTAGTGCAACAGCAACTAGGAAATCTATCATTACACTGTTATTAGGATACACCGTGTTAAAAAAAAAAAGTAATAATAATCGTTACTTTAGTAGCTAGTATAATTTTGTATAATTATAATTTATACATGTGTATTTTTAATTTTTATTTATTTATCTTTTGCAATCTGAACCGGCGGAAAATAATATTGACATTGCGTCCTTCTGTCGTGTCGGACTAAATCTAATGTTGTTAATTATTATTGTCGTCGTTTCTTGTTCCGTTTTACGACCTAGGTATGATTGGTTTATATTATTATTAGACTAGTTCAACTCAACTGCAAAGGTTCTATGATAATAATGTATATTGTCATACATTATAGCCGTGTGTGTGTGTCGATTATTGAAATGGGAAAAACAATGTGCTGTAACTGTCTTAGAGTTATTTTAGTGAAAACTTGTTTATCACATCCAGATGAATCACCCAACCTGTACAACCGTTATCATTTACATAATAATTATATAATAGATTATAAATAGTATTATAGTATTACAGTATTTACCAGAATTTCTGTTCTGACTAAAAGCTTTGCAAGTTCAAGGTAAATGCAGTAATAAAATAACAAGCGTTTGCGTTTTTATTGTGTGTCATACGAATTAAATACAATAATTATTATTGTCGTCGTGATTCGAGGTCAGCAATATACCTTATTGAAACCGCGATACGCCAACATGGATTGCTTTATCCCGGCCGTGATCTCATAAGTACATAATCATTAATAATTTCTGAGAAGGATATTAATTATTGTGTTTAATAAAAAAAAAATTAACTCGAAGTAATGCGAACATGATCTAAAAAAAACTGGATCAAACAAAAGTTCTGTGACGTTATGAGAGGACTCATAATGTAGTTGGGGAATCATATTATTAATTTGGTAAACAAAATTGCTAATATTTCTAAAACACATATTACTTAAATTTATAACGTCTCATCATTTATTTATACAAATTTACAAGCCCCCCTTTCACACACACACACATTATTCACATTAGTGGAAATGAGGCATCGGGTCACAAAAAAAAACTTATAATCAAAGTTAGTAGTACTACAAATACCTATAATTGTATTTATTATGAGATATTTGTAAAATAACACCAATTTTGACGGGAGATTAGTAAATGAAAGACAAGGAAATACGCACATTAAATGAAGGCTCTTTAATTGTTAAATATTTATTATGACTATTATTATTATTATTATTATTATTATTATTATTGTTATTAGAGAATTAATATTTTATCGAGGAATAAATCGTATGCATCTTCGATTGTTCGATGAAATTTATTAGTTTTCAAAAAATTATTATTATTCCCAATTTTTTTATAGCCGGCGGTCAACAACGAAGATTCAGACAATTTCTCCACAATGATCTCACTGGGTGGCATCACTAACCTAGACAGGATGTACAAAGTGCAAGACGTTCTTGACAACTTGTCGATGATACATAAACATTGTTACGAAAGAAAAAAGAATGAAAACGTCGTGTAAGTATAAAATTATGCGCTAAAGATGTTTGAATTATGATTAAATGATAAAATACACAGTACCTGTAACTGGTAAACGGGTCTTCAGGACGGTACATTTCTTTAAAATTATTAAATATCATCGAATCTAGGAAAATTCAAATTTAGCCGATTAACGATAGGACTGTGTTGCACAAAATGCTTAATGCTTTTTCTTAGCAACAAAGGAAGTTTCGATGACATTTCTACATTTGTTTGGATGGGGGGGGGGGGAAGTGCGAGGCACGTTTTTAGTTTACAAAGTATTTTCTTTTGGAAAAGTTGTAGAAAGTTTGGAGAACAACACCGAACACGAAGAATCCGTCCAGTGTCTGACATAGGATGTCTGGAGTAAACCTAGACGTGTTAATGGGGATTACCTATCGTCAGCCCACCGTATGTTTCTCATTAAAACTTCAGTTAAACATAATATTTAGATTATACACAGCAGACAAAAAGGTCATAAAGGTTATCGCCCATCGCCACGTTGGAACGAATGTGATATGTATACTGTTTTAAAATTGCCTTTATAGATTATATCTGAAGACAAAGTAATTTCCTTAACTCGTTCCTAATTAGTAATTACCGAAGTGGATTTTATTACTATATATTATAGATACTTTTTTTAAATTATCTATACTGATAAAGTTACGATTTGCTGTTACAGGTCAGACTCGCAAAATCTTGAAGAAAAATCCAAAGGAAGATACGTTCCCGTACAGGAGTTGGCTTACGATCATAACCTGTCGATGATTCCTATAGGAGATTCTCCTATGGCTAAAGACTTTACGATCAGTCATCACGATTTACAGGTAATGCATGTTGTGCCGGCAGTTTACGAATAATGTGATGTTACTTGCATTTTTATTGTTATCATTCTAAACTGTTGCCTTATACAAACAAAACGGTCGAATTTAGATTATGCATCACGGCACCACCGTCGTGCATTGGGATGCGGAATACAGTAACAGGTCCTCTCTGGTCTACCTGCGGTTGGAAAGAAACAACTGGACGCTGTCTTGGGGCAAGAAACCCTGGAGCTCCCTTAGACTTAATTCGGCCAACATGCCGGATTACTCACTGAGCGTCGATCCGGAAGACAATGTGCCCAACTCAATTATGAACCGACAGTCTGCCGATTGTCCGTCGTCGAAGAGTAAGAGAAAATTAATTTGAATATCCGAAGATTTGAGAATGTGTTCGACAATAGTTATAACAAATATCTAACCGCCTCTTAACGATTTCAAAATGTAGCGTACCTATTTCAATGACGACCAACTATTATTATGTCACCTTCGGCATTATATCAATAACAGATGATTGAAAATTACCAACTAACTCGACTTTTCTACTGGATTTAGGACAACGTTTTATTAATTGGATAGTAACGCGGTTGTACACCCTCAGGAACTGCAAACTGGTTTGCAATGTCGTTTAACGAAGTCAATTTGTTATTCTCACTTTTTTTTTTCTATTACCTTAATTATTTTTTAAACGTTTATGAGTAAATGTCGTGTGTAATATTTTGAATTTGCAACCTTTCTTTTCAAGGATCGCCATTGAAAAACAAATAAATAACATCAATTTAGATCCCCATGGTTGTATGTGGTCCATACAAACGAAGTGCATAAATAGAAACGTAAATATTAGGTTTTAAATTAGCAAAACAATTTACTAAACCGGTTTTAACTGCTAAATTATTAGTTGCACAACTAAACGTTTATAAGTGTAATAGATATTTGTAATTATATGTTATTGAATTTACTTTCTTACTATTTTAATATTATTAGATAATTTATTCGTCTACAAAAGTAAAAACAATTATTTATTTAAACATGTGCGAAGAAGAAATATAAGTGTACACATGTCTGATTATTGTACATTATTGGCTTTTAATAGTATTGACTTGATATACAATTTAAATCGTGTTATGTATAAATTCTCCATTATTTAGTATGTTACATTAAAATGCCACTTTTGATTTATTAAATATTACATTAGGTAAATTAAAAAAAAAAAATAGCAAAAAGATAGTTTCGTATAATTTTATAATGCACAAATATTGGGCATAACGGAAAAATTAAATTGTTTGGTTATAAACTCAATTTAAATGACTTTCTGTTACTCGAAAAAATAAATCAATATTTTCTATAAGAAACTGATTTTTAATAATTTTGTCCGATGGCCGACGATACTATAAAAAAATGTTTAAAAAATAAGTGTCAAAAAAAAATTAAAAATACATTTTACGACCATGGCCAAAATAATCGAAACAAATTGAAAAACATTATTTTTATTGTAACAGACATGCAGTGTAATTTTCAAAAACGCTCCAAACATTTTGACCCAATTTATTAGTTATACTTTTTAAAAATTATTAAAATATTGCTGATCATAAAGTTATTACTCTAAGTAGAAAATATGATTGTATTTTATTTCACCCGTGAACAAAATAAATTTAAAACACTACCTAGACAAATCAATGGTTCAGAATCTACAACATTATCGTTTACGATCGTCTAACACTCTAAAAAAACAATTTGTTCTTTCTACTTATAACCATAATTCAGAAATATTCAATTATTGATGTTTTTTTAGCGTTGTTGAAATTAGTTTAAAACAATGCTTACGGTCTATAGGTTTAGGGACAATATTTAACGTTTGCTATACATGTTATATATAGTTATATAAATATTTTGCTCAGGCCTGAATGAGGGGTATTTGGATCTATCGGCCGTCAAAGATATTTTCATAGCAGACTCAGCCGGCCGAGAGCGGATCAAGGAGTGTTTGAATATTATGAGAAAATTTAATTTACAAAATTATGAGATATCCGAATGTTGTATTTGTATTGTACACGGAAACAACACAGGGGAAAATCGCATGTTATACTTGTTGGCACCGAAAACAGTACTAAGGTAAAGTGCTAATTTATTATTCATCTACAAATGAGTTATTAATTATTTGTATAATAATTCGCTTGTTTTTGTCATTAAACATTAATATTGACAGCTTGTGGCTCGAGGGACTTACGAAAATCGTTAATAGAGTCCGAGAAGTGATGCGCGAGGAAGACCAATACAGGATATGTCTTATGAAGATTTATGTACTGCAATATGTGAAATCAAAAGGTCTAGGACCACTACCATCTGACGCTATCAAAGTGAGTGGAACGTACCTTAAGCTTTGTCAACTACTGATTATGTTTTTTAACAAGCAAAGAAGAAAGTACACATTAAATATATTTTACATTATTAAAAGTCTATACCTCATGAAAATCAAGTTTTTTCTTTATAGGTTTTCAAATGAAAACACACTGCAACACTTAATATACACTCCACTCCATAGGTCCAACTTAGCATATTTATACTTTCAGCTGTAATTCCTATAATTCCGTTTTCCCATTATCTCTCGGCTTCAATCTCCTATACTCACTCTTATTGATTATTGCTGATTTGGATCATCGATAATTGAAATGTTTGCAGAGAATTTAACAAAACATATTTTTTTGTCTGGACAGTTACTTGGTGGAAGAGACTGGATGGTCAGCGGAAACGGCAGCGGTCAACCGGAAATGAGCTTGGCCAAGCGGGCCGCTTCTATTCGGTTCCGAAAGAAAAAATCCATAATCAGCATTCCCGTAGGTTTCGGATTTCATTTTCGAGACTACTTCAAGTATTAAAAAACTAATCGCTGGGCTCGTCTTGTGGGTTTTTCAGAATGACAGGCTTTTACCTTGTAATGTGAACGAATTGGTCAGCCGGTCTCGGTTAGACTTGACCAACAGCGGCGAAAACCACCGACAAGATAACGACGATATCCATGCCATCAAACCGGACCATTCTGAGTTAGTGAAAATATAATGCAAGCCCCACCCCTCCTCCCAAAAAAATGTTTTATGTCTCACCATCATATCTAATACAAAATGTATTAATGGTCATCAAAAATCCAATGTCTAAATTATTTAATAAATCATTAGTTTAATTTAATTGCTAATATTATTAAAATGGCATTAAGGTAGTTCTATATTAAAAAAAAAATAATGACTTATACACTGTGTGCATTTCTACAGGAACCCTATTGATCGTGTCCAGCATGATAAATTACTGAGCTTCGAAGATTTCTTGCTGCTTTTCGAATGTTTCAGGTACGTGATTGTAGCGGTATATGCAGTATGTATTTGTACTTCTAACCAATATTATCAATATAACATCCTTGTTCTTTTTTCAAAACTACATGGGTATTATTTTAAATAGATTTAAAACACTTGGTTTTTACTAATATTTCTTAGACTGCGTATACGGATGGATTTAAAAATCCTATTTGATCAGATTCGAAATGAGGAAAACAGTTCGTCTAACCGAGACTCGGGAGAGAATGAAACCGAAAACAATCAACCGCCACGTCCAAGAACGTTGTCGGCGCCAGCTCAAGGTACATGACAACTCTAAATTTTATAATTTTCCATTTCTCTCTGTGACGAATTTGCATAAGCTTTTGCATTAGAACCAATATGAAAGTGGTTTGTGTTTTAGCTTAAAGAAGTAACATGAAATCGGTTAGTGTAATAACTGCAGTTAGACCGTTTATTTTGTTATTTATTAAATTCAAACTTACCTCTTAAGTTTTTTTTTAAGACTTATTCATGTAATATATGAGCTTGTTTCATAACTAACAAAGATATAGGTATGGTGGCCACTTCTATATTAAATCATTTGAGGCGCGGTCTAAAAGGACAAGATAAGGATGTGAGATAAAATTAAAGACATCTCATTATAAACATTGAACGTAGTGTACTGAAGTCCGAGACTTGACTCGGGGATGCTTAATGGAATATAATATTGGAAGGGTAGTAGATTGAATATCTTACATATTTAGCTAATATAATTCATAATGAATTTTCTAGAGAAAAGAGTGAAACGCAAAATAATTACAACGCTGTTGGGTCGGTCTAGATGGGCTCTATAAGTTAAATTGTGTTTTTACTATTTCCATAATATTGTTTTTATGTACTTTTAGTAGCAGACATTTTGAATAGCATCAAGTCGAAAAAACGGAATTCTCAGAGTGTAATAGCTTCTCAAAAGCAAGTTTTCGACGCCATCGCTACATCAAGCATAGTGTCAAATTGTGCGGGAGTGGAGACTTCCACTTTGGCGTCCACGTGGTCGGCAAGTCTGTTAGCAAAGTTCATAACAAATAAACAAAAGACGGATTGCACGGAATCGGAAGCTCGCGAAATTATACAGGTTTGACTGGCTAAAATCAATATTTATTGTTCGTCAACTACGTTTTTATATTCATTTCTACTATGTATGTCTGTTGTGCACAGCGATTCGAACCGGATTCCGAAATTCGCAGTCATGATTGTATGTCATTCGAGGGGTTCGCCAAATATATTATGGATCGGGAGAACAGTGCGTTCGACGAACAAAAGTCCACTGTAAATGATGCCGATATGGATTTCCCATTATCGTGCTATTATATAGCGTCATCGCACAATACTTACCTGGAGGGCAATCAACTCAAAGGAGAATCTTCTGTGGACATCTACAGCCATGTGAGTTTCATTCAACTTGGCCTCGAAATCGATTGCTAAGAATTTGAATTCTATATGTATGTATTTATATATTTTTTTTTATACAGATTTTGCTGTCCGGATGCCGGTGTGTGGAGCTAGACTGCTGGGACTGTGGTGGCGATTATCCGACCATCACTCACGGGCGTACGTTCACTTCGAAAATACCGTTCATCGCGGTCGTGCACGCTATTAACAAATCAGCATTCGTCACTTCCCCATATCCCGTCATACTGTCTATAGAAAACCATTGTTCAAAAGCTCAACAAACCAAGATGGCTCAAGTATTCCGGGTAAATGATGCATATTTAATGTACGAACATTTAGTTACCACAGATTTTTGTAAGCAAATTTTATAGGGATCTGTATTGCCTAGCCAGGGTCGGGTTTGCAACAGAGTTATATTAGCATTTATAGTCTGGGTGCACCAGTCTTGGGAATTAGCCAAGTCGTTTCTAATATTTGTACGATCATGTATATACTGTACAGACGTTTGCCCATATATATTTACATGGTTTTTGCTTGCCTAAGAGCGCCGACAAAATTAATTCCTGTCTGTCTGTTGTAATTATATTAAATAAGTACATCCAATTAAAAAAATTATTCTGGAGAAGAGTTTCAACAATCTTTAGTCATATTTCTAAAAAGATAAATCTCAGTAAACACGATTCTTGTCGTTCTTTAAAATCTACACCTGAACGACCAATTTTATAGCGTTTTGTTTATTTATTAGGATGCGTATTTATATCATCGAGTGTAACTAGTAAATAGTGAAAAACTGATCCATTTGGTTTTGATTAACAGGAAGTTTTTGGAGATAAGCTCGTGACGGGCTTCATGTTTGACTCGGACTACACACCACAGTTGCCGTCTCCTAATCAACTGAAATATAAAATCCTAATAAAGAACAAAAAGATACAACCGAAAAACAACAACAATCAGTCAAAAAGTTCGGATCATTCGACACATAGAAGCAGTTCGACCAGCACGGGCACAGATGAAGTCATCCCCGGGATCGATGACGAGGAAGATGATGATGACGACGACGGTTACGAAGACGAAGGTAAGCCAATTTCTGTAATATTACTAGTTATAAATACTAATAATGTTTAATAAAATAGGAAAATATGTATGTAAAATGTGTAAGTATAAACTAAATTCAACTGTTATCAGATTCTGTTTATAAGTCAAACATCCAATTCACTTGAACAATTCACTCACCAATTATGTTTAGCCATAAAATATCATACTTAAAGATGACTAATCTTTTAAATTTATCGTGTGTCTGTTTCTGTAAAAATACTATGTAAACAGTATACTTTCTTAAAATTTAGACAAGTAAAAATATTGAGAAAAATAATAAAAGCCAATATTTTTCTTTAAATAAAATAATTATTTTATTCTACTTTTGAACAATACCTACTACTAAAAAATATATGTAAGCAATACTGATTGACTTTTTGATTATACAGACAAAAAAAAACTAAAATCTGTTTTGACACTTCCTTACAAAACCTATCAGAAATACATAGTTAACAAGTATGTACATTTTGTATTTTTAGAGGTGAAACTGGAAAGACCAAATGACATGACTAATTGGTTTAGTCTAAAATTCAAGACGAGCGATAAACGTACAGAAAAAGTCGAACAGAAACATAAAAAAAATAATAGAATAATATCAAAAGACTTGTCCGATATAATCATTTACGTTCAGGTAATATGATCTTTTTGTTTAGAATTTATATATTTTTATTTCAAGCAACTAGTAGTGAAAACTTACCAACAATATACTTCAATATGCTGGTCATTAAAAAGGGGTTGAATTTCTGCTGGACTTACGGTTACTCTGGTCCGCTCCATTTATAAAGTAACCCGTTTTAGATATTCCATATGAGCGTTTACAAATGCACATTGGAAATGCCTTAGGTGCTTAAATGATCTTCCTAACGTGGTAGCAGCGTACTTAAAATCGTGTTATTTTGGTTTCACTAGATCTACATTTAATCTGATATTTAAACTAAACCAGAAAAATCAAAATAAGAAAAGCCTTTAGACCTTTCTAGAAGATAAGATTAACTATATAAGTTCGTAGTATTTTATTGCAAACCATGATTTTTTTTATACTAAAAGATACCTCAGCAGCTTTAGAATTGTTTTGAATATTTTTTAAAGTTAGATACCATACATTAAAAAACATTTTAAGAGTATGTCAGCTTACACGTAGCTCCTAATTCGCTCACTAATAACCATTTTTTAATATTAATGTTATAAATTAACAGGCAGTCAGATTTAACACGTTTGTACCTCTCAGTCCACGGAGTTCGGTGAGGAGAAATCGGTCAAATAGCGAATCTAATGACGGTGGCGTGGGCAACGACAATTCCGCACATCGTTCCGGCTTGAATATGCATCATCCGTGCTTCAAGTGCACGTCAATCCACGAACTTCGGTGTCGAAAAGTGGTTAAAACAAAGCCACTGGACGCACTTGGACATTCTGAGAGGCAGTTGGTACGAGTGTACCCATCGAGCATTAGGATGGACTCGTCTAACTTCAACCCGTTGACATTCTGGTTGACCGGTATCCAGATGGTAGCTCTCAATTACCAGAAGGATGAAACGACCGGCATGCACTTGAACACTGCTATGTTCGAACAAAATGGCGGTTGTGGGTACGTATTGAAGCCGGAGATGATGCACGACCCGGCCCATAACATGTTTCGCAAGTATAACCCTTTCGCAAAGGGGTTCTGTGGAACGCACACTATTCAACTACACTTGAACATCGTATCTGGCCAATATGTATCGCCGGCCGGCGAGTACCGTTCCAACGTGTACGTGGAAGTAATGATTATCGGTATACCTAACGACGAAAGTAAGAAAAAAACCCAAACAGTAAGTAACAACTCAGTGAACCCAATGTGGAACGAAGAATTCTCATTCCGCGTACTCTTCGACGAGCTAGCATTCGTCCGGTTCGTCGTGTATGATGCCAGCTCCAATCATCCTCTCTGTCAGCGCATTGTACCTCTCAAATGCCTCCGGTTAGGGTACCGACACCTTTACATGCGCGATATGCATAACCGACCTTTGCCGTTGGCCAAGCTGTTCATCCATACCCACATCGATGAGTTGTCTCCAGACGTAAACACATCCGACAACGTAGAATCTGCGAAAAGCGATTCAACACGCAAAAATGACTGTGTGGAACACATCAGAAAGAATTTCCCATTGGAGATTTACGGTGTTGTATCCGAAGGGTATACCGATTTTCAAGTTACACCCGAGAGTACGGTGAAGGATATACTCTGCATGGCTCTTGAAAAATTGGACGAGCCCATCAAAGATCTCAAGAGGTATGTACTAATTGAAGAGGTGAAATGTGACATGATTCCGCAAGACATGTTGGCCGAGAGTTGTGTGGAAATCAACATGAAACGTGGAACCTACACGACTAAAGTCTTAAAAAAGTCCAGAGGCATTAGCAAGTTCCTTAGAAGGAAGAACAAGAAGAATAGCCGCAAGTTTTGGAGAAGCGTTAACGCTGAAATTATTCGACGAGTAATGGAAGATAACGAACATCCACTGGCGTTACAAGCCCAAAGAAAAGGGAACTTTGTATTGAAGAGAATTGGGGACGATCCAAGCTGCCGTGCTTGGATTACCGTATTGCAAGCTATGAATCGCACGAGCCGGTCATGGGACGAAGCAGCCACCTTTATGGTATGTATATACAATGTGGCCGACGATATTCCATATGCCATGATAAAAGTCCCTCTAGGATCGACCACGCAAGACGTACTGGCCAAAGTGCTAGTCAAGGTTAGACGTATGGATGATGACCCGGCCAATTTTATTCTTGTCGAAGAATTAATGCACAACAGTTCGGATATAAGATACAGAGTATTAGACGACGACGAGGACGTGGCTTTCACCATGTACCATTGGTTCGGTCCAGGCCGATTGGTCATGGAAGAGCGGGAGCTGGAAAGGACAGAGAGCGACAGCGAGGGATTGATCACAAGAACATCGGAAACAGTTAACAGTTTGTCAGATAAACTAGGTCTGTCCGCAGCCATAGCGGCCGTTGGTCGCGGGTGGCGCGCCTGTGGCCTACCAACACTGCCGGGTTGCTGTCTTCGGCCGGAAAACTGCCGCGCAGAGGTTATCGAAAAGGCAGCTAAGGACCATCAAAAACTGATGATGGATCGGTTAATACTACAGGAAAATGATGACGGCGACGGTGGGGGCTTAGAGCGAGCCGGTGACTCTGATAGCTCTGGTGGACGGTTTTCAATATCTTCATCCCAGTTTTGGAGATACTGGAACAGATGTTGGTGTCTGAGAAGAATTCCTAGAGAGCCCTCCATTATCGGCACTATGGTCTGAGTTACCGTTAATCTTCCTTCGCCGTTACCACTTTCTTTATTTAATTATTATTATTACGGTTATTAATTATTATCATTATAATTCCTTGTACCCAGAATTTATATCATTACATTTTCTTAAGGTAGGTATTCTCTATATATGTACATAGAAATATATACAGATACATGCATATAATATCATATATATATAATAAACACACAGAGAAGTTTAATCCGTTTTAAAAATATTGATCACCATTGTTCCTGTCGTTAAATCAATGACAGTTTGGAAATTTGTTTTCATTTGCTTTAACGATAATTACGTAATTTTAGATATTATTTTTTTCTATAAAAAATATTACACGTTTTTCGAACAGCTCCCAATGATCCACTGTAGTGGATCTGCTTGATCTATAGCATATCGACTCCCCTCCCGATCAATCCTATATTATTAAAAACCAAAAAAAAAAAGACACCAATCTAGTCATTTTATTGATACGACTAAACATAATACTATTATTAGTTGTACTCGAATTTTTATCATTGTTTCTATTTGTATTTGTTTATTAGTGTTGTACTAGCATTATAACCGTATATTTATTTATTTTCATCAATGATTATGGAATAACATATATTTTTCAAAATAGACCTACATTATCATTACCATTATATTTAATCTAAAGATTTCCTCACGAGATTCTCTATATTTACCTAATAATATACACAATGTATGTATTATGTAATGTATGTATTACTTTAGATCTTAAAATGTATTATTATTTTATATATAAATATATAAAATAAGGTCATCATTTTTATTGTTCATCATTTAAAATATGTTTTAAAATAATATTTATTTATTGAATGTTCCACTGTTGTACACAGTAATTACAACATAAAGTTAAACATTAATTTATTAATATATATATTATATTTAAGAGTATCATAAGCACATTCCTGTATCATCTTTTTTTTATAACTCTTTAGTGTTCAAATCCTTTATTAGAAGAGAGCGTCTGTCTCTACTACTATTAATTTATATAAAAGTGATAATTTATATCTCGTGTATCAAATAGACATACATAATAATAATACTCTGTTAGTAATAATTTTTTGATTATAATTAATAGAGTAGCTTGACCTTGGTCACTCTTTTCTAGTTAAGAGCGTGTAGTTTTTTATTGTAATCTTTGGTTTTTTAAAACCAATTTCGTGTAATATTTAAGACTTTTATTCCCAACTAAATTCTAACGTTGAACAATTTTTAGTGTGTAAGATATTTTACACCGATGTATATCCAACTAGATAGACGAATTTGTTATTGTTATCATCGCAATAAAATTGTTGAAATATAATGCTCATTTCCGCCATTTTAATATGAAAAAAGGACAATGCATTTCCTATTGTATGTAGTATATTGATTTCAAAATACACATGATGGGTGCCGTACACAAAACTGCAGTTGGTTTCTCGACGTTAACAGTGGTTGGGTACCTTAACTTACATAGCTAAGAATGCAAGCCATCGCATCTAACCTATGACAAGATCAAGTTTCATAAAATCAAGATCATCAAATGCCGTTTTTGTGCGTTTTCACAGCCATTCATAGGTGTATTTGAACTCGTCACACGTATATTCAGTAGTACTTGCATTGTCCTATGTAAATTTGGCGACCAAGAACCGCTCACAATAACAAATATGTCGACTACCTAATTCGAAATTCATCGTCTCTAAACCAAATTAACGCAGGTTTGCTCTGTATGTACACATTTACCGGTACATGAGTACCCATTACCCATGTATATTCGTTTGTTTTTATCGATAATCTACATACTGTTTATTATTGTACATGGTATCCTTAAGTCCGCTATTCACAAATACTGTTCACTTCGAAACACCATCACAACTAGCATATAATATACATCATTAATAAGCATTATTACTGTTATTATTTAATTCTTATATTTAAAACGAAAATGTTTATGATAAAAAAACGCGTTATTATTAATATTAAAAATTGGATCTCCTTAAAATATATTATATTATCTTCAATATTTATCATAAAACTGTTTATATTATTAATTGCTGTTCCTTCTGCATCATATTAAGAGTATATATATATATATATACTTCTAATTCATTAGAATTATATATCATAGCCTGGAAAAGTTTGTTGAATGTTGATATACATACATGTGCTGTGTTACATATAAACAACGGTGTGGACCGTGTGGTGGTTTGATTTAAACCGAATACAGCACTGCTTTCCAATTCTATATAATTGTAACTAACATTAAGTACAGAGAGCCAATTTACTAAACATTGGTAACCCGCTAAATTATCAAAATATTGTAAACAATGAAACCATGATTTTTAAATTATTATTATATAGGAAGTACATACACAATAATTTAGCTCTCCTTTAGTATTTTTACTTAAAAATGTTTTTTAATAATTAATAATAACTATAATAATACATAGTAAATAGCAATCTTTTAATTTATTTTAAACCCATCAAAAGTATCGCGGCTACTTTAAGATGGTCCTATTTAAATTTTGTAAAGATACACGAGTTCTTTGGTCACTTTACTAGATTATGTTTTGATGTAAAAAATTGCCTTTTAATATTGAAATATTTTCAAATTTAATTTGTTTATTAACATAAAAACTGATATTTTTTAAATAAAGTGTTTGCTATGTTTCCAACATAACTTTGTAAAAAGACCAACAAATTCTTATCATTATACAGAACTGAAAAGTCTCACTATTCTGTTACAGCAAAAGCATTTATTTTACTACCAAAAGGCTTTTACTCATAGAAAAAATTGTAATTATTAAAAACAATATCAAGGTATTATACAAAGCTTACAAAAATTAACCTAAAAAAATTGTGATATGGTCGAAAATTACTAAAAAGTAAAGACCAATTTTTTTTTTTTAATATTGCCCATACAAAACTTCTTAAAAGCCGCCCACTCTCAACCACCTTAAGCAACGACAAATAAATCATCGATAGCATTTTATGATTCGTATCGCATTATCTGTTTAAATTCTAAAATTAAAAAAAAGTTTTAAACAAACAGATGTATCAATTAACGGAGTGTGTTGTTTTTTTTTTTTTTTTAGGCGTAAAAACGAAAGCTTAGTTCATTCTAATTAATTTTAAATTGGCAATGCGGTTAATTTGAGTATTATGATTGGTCTGTGGCCGTGGACGATTCCGTGGTGTCGCTTATGGTTTGCCAATCGACGGTGGTTGACTGTTCATTTTTGGTTGACATTATCGTTTTATAAACGCTGTAAGGCTCAGTTTGACCGGTAGTCGAGAGGCGATCGGTTTTTGTTGCAGCCAAGAAAGGTGTACTCGTTTTGCCTGCAATCAAATCCGCTATATTGCACTCAAGCTTATTGTAAAAGATTTAAAAATATTCTTTGCAAAGACGCTCATATCCTATTTATTTAGAAGTCAGGGAATAGGCCATTTTTTCCAAAAATCTTAATTTAAACTGTCCCCACTTTCTTAAAACAGCTCTTCCAAAAATTGTCTGACCAGAATTACTTATATCATCTGGAAGTTAAAGACTTTATCTGAGATATTTCTAATAACCTAATGATGTTAAATCCAAAATGAGTGCTTGAAAAATTATTTTTTCTTACTTTTTTTACCTTTATGTAAATCAAAAACTAATCGCGTCGAGACGACACAAATAAAGTTCTTAACATTCATACTCATACATACATACATTAATACAAATAGTTTTTTTTTTAAACTTATTTTTCACTCATTGTAGAAACCGCGTTACGTGGGTAGTTCGACTGTGTATTCCAAAAATATTTACCTAAATTTTTATATGGTTTACCGGTGTACTGGCTACCGTGGTATTTATCGCCGAGTAAAGCCATCGCCATCCCATCAGTGTTGGGTGTTAACGTCATATTTCCAGCATGAGGCTTCCATACAAACATGTAGTAAGAGGACAACATGACCGATGTCGAAGACACAGCCGTCAAGTATACAATCACCGTCAGGATTCGTATGATTTTGATCTAAAACACAAAAATCTTTCTATTAAGTTATCCTAGTCGATCATTTTAAAAACGAACCGATAAATAATAATCCCTATTTTAATAATATGCCTAACTAGGATTTTTATGACATTCAAGAAAACAATGTGTAAATTAATTCCTTTTAATACCCACAATCCATTATGGCCAACTTAATTTTTAAACCAATATTTAATATTAGTTAATGTAGTTTATGGAACGAAGTATACTGTCAAATTATGAAATAGGCTGTTATTTTAAAACACAATTGGTGGACATATATATAGACTTGTTATATAATATATTATTATGATACAAGATATAGACTTGTTTTAGCTTCGATCATTCTGTATGGAGCTTAATATTTCAGATTAAAAATTACTGTCAATTCAAATTTTGAACATTATATTTAAATTAAAGAGTGTATGTTACAAAAAAATACTTGCTATTTTATATGTTAGTCCAGTTAAATTATAACTTTCCAATGGAAACGGAAAGCGCCAAAGTATTAGTTTTAGTATTTATACATATAAATACTAAAACGCGAAGTCGTTTTCTGAAGTGTCTACTGAACTGATTTCAAATTTTATTTTTATTATAAGAATTAACATATTTTTTATGAGGGTAACTGATAGTTTTATAGCTAGAAAAACTTAATATTATTTTACCTTAAATTTAGTTACCTAGCATATTTAAAATAGCTACTAGATCAATTTTTGTCAGTATAAAACGTTCCCATTTTTCATTATAAAGACGACACCAATATGACCTAATTTGTATTTAAAACATAGAGGCGTCTAGTTGGTTAAATATGACAGACTACTAATTAAGTTCAAACAACGATATAATAACAATTCACACAATATAATAAATGGAATTTTATTTAAGTTACCAGTAGTAAAAATCAGAATATTATAATAATATATAAATTAGTGAAAAAAAATTGTGTTTATAAAAACTCTCTGAATTACCTTAAGTACCCTAAGTGCGTTAGAAAATTGTAGTTTTTAATTTTCGTTTTAAATTTGTTTACTATTTTGCTAATTGTGAAGTGTGGGATTGGCATAAGATAATTTTAAATAAGCTCTTGCTTATATTTTTCTAAGTTAATGTTAAAATGTTTAGTCAAATCATTTAAAAATATTATTTATTTTAAATATGTATATTGAATTTTATCGTTTTAGTTTAACGAGACGTGCCATCAGGTGTAATTAAAATTTAAATGTTAAAAGTTTTTTTCCAAAAGCTTTTTTTCAAGGTCGGAGAGAATGATATCTCAAAAACGAATCGATAAATAGCATTCAAATAGTGTAGACTTCTTAACATAGTCTTTTTTTGTTGTTTAAAACTGTTATTGCTTAATTTGAATCGCTATACGTTTATGTACAACTTGAAATGAACTATACAATTATTTGTATAGTTCTTAGTAATTTGTTGTTCTCAATAGAGAAGTTGTTATTTTTTTTTCTAACTAGGCATGACACCTTAGTACATTTTCATTTATTCTTTCTTAATGATTGGGTATTGCAATTTATTAGGTCATGGACCCCATCTATTATACAATGCGTACACAATAAGCTGTGTAAATAAATAACTGTACTTACCTTTCTTTCTTTTTTCAACTCCGACTCTTGTTGCCTGGACCCCTCTTCTGGCGATTGGTTATCCGATTCGCTTGTCATGTCTTTTCTTTTTATTATTCAACTCGAACACGGACAACACAGTAAACCAATAGCGAAAAACGGCAATCGCATAAAACACTTTGATCGTGTCAAAAAAAATGTTTGTCGGTAAGAACGACCTTTAGCAACGGTTGATCGTGGTATGCATTTTACCGACGAACCACTTATATTGTAGTCCCACTGAATAGGATTACGTGAAAAAAACGTCCACGCATGACCCTTCGGCCTTATGTAATAATTGTGAAGCCATTACGGTTAAGCTAGTTAGAAAAAATACTATACAGCGATCGAACATCGTTACATAGACCGCATCATTGCGTGAAATGATTTGGCTTTTATAGTAATAAAACAAGTTTATTTTTAGTCCCCTCCCTTCCTAAAAAAAGGGAGCTTTTAGTCGATCACTATAATATGATGTCATAACTTTAAAAATGATTATTTTGTGTCTACGACAAACTATAGGCATTTGTACATTATTGTACCTACACGGGAGAACTTCTCATAAAGCAAAAAAATATTGTCAACCGCAACTGTAAATAAAGTTTTCACAGAATATTAAATGATTCAAAAATATTATTTACAAAATTTTATTTTATTGGAAATATTACCAGTAATATTGAACTAATAGTATTATTTCAATATTAGTATAGGTACTATTTGTAAATAATGTTATTTTTTGTATTAATTTCAAAATGGTCTTAGAATTATTATAAGCAGATACTATACTTATTATACTAACAAATAACAAAATATTTAATACCAAGTATTCATTTTGCAATAAAATTAATATTCTTAACATTAAAATTTATTTTTAAAACTTGTTATAATTTATTTTGGTTCAGTGCACGCTAATTATTTTTAACTTATCGATGCAAATTACAAAACGTAATCAAAGTAATTATTATGAAATCTACCACCATTGTCACTAAATATAATTTTAAAAAATATTTTTGAAAGCAATATAATATTATAATGCCTAAATTATACCAATTTAAAAACTATTATTACTTCATACAAACAACAATCGTAGCTGATAATTTCCCGATTTTCCGGGATCTCAAGGAATGGTTAACGTTATCTAGTTGGAAATTATCGAACTACAAAATTTGTCAGTTTCCAGCGTATTTTGTTAGATGGCGCCAAGAAACATTTGTAAAGTTTTAACTTTAGACAGACAATTATGGAAAAAAACAAAGGTATTGTCGGTAGTTACTTGTTTCAATTTATGGTCGATTCAAAAATAAAATTCATACCACTTATACAAACCAGTAAGCATATTCTAAAGGAAAACCAAAAAAAAATGGTTGTTTGCAAATTTGTTTTCAATTTTTACATTAGTAAATAAATACACACACTCGCCAGACATTGGCATTATTTAAATAAGAACTTGATAATCATAAATTCACAATTTTATTTCATTTCAATAAAGATTCAACTAATAATTTCATATACTTTTTTTTTTAAATAAACAAATATTTGAGTTTGTAATGAAAAATGTATTTAAATAAAAATTATAAGCAATTATAAATTAAGTAGACAATATTATTTACTAACTAGTACCTTTTAATTTTATTTTTATCGAAAAAAAGTACTTATTTAAGTATGCATTAATCAGCTACCATACTTAATAGATAATAATATGTAAGTAAGTTGTACAAAAAACTTATTTAAATAACAAGTCATCTCTCTAATTGCCAATTTAAGGTCAGATGGTTTTAACATGTCAGGTAAATTGGTATAGTAACAAATCATATTTAAAATTAAATATAAGCAAATACAACCTGTATGTACATACATATACATACAACAGTTAAGTTTTAACAAATAACGATATAAAATTATTAATTTATTAGTTTACTATGAAGTTAACGGTTAATAAAAAAAAGTGTGTGAGAGCAGAAAGAGAGAGAAAGAAAAAGTAATTGAATATTAAAATTGTATTTTATCACGTCGAAATACCAGTTTGCTGGTATTATAATATGACACAGGTTGACGAATGGGAAATGACTAGTATTAAAAATGAACAGGTTTCATACTTTCATGTACTCTCGCAGTTTAGGAAAAATATCAATAATAGTCTCCCTAAGTATGGCTTTATTATTTATAGAAAGGGTCAAAATGCCAATAAAAAACACATAAGTCATATTTAATACAAAATGAATAACACAATTATTTATAATATTTTAATTAATTAAGTATAGTCGACTACTAAAATTGTAACGCTATAAGCATTGTTACTAACTACTCGTGTATTTTAAAATAGTATTGACTAGATATAATTATATATATATATTCGATTGTAGTTGCACACTAGAGCTCAAATATTATAATTGGGCAGAAATTATGTTATCCTCATAGACCTACTGAGGCTACGCCCCCTACCTTCAAATACTATTCCTAGTTTATTTAGTAATTATAACAACTATTATTTTATGCACAGTAATAACATACACATCACTTTTTTAATTTTTTAATTAATTAAAAAGTCAGATTTTAGTGTAATTAAATTTGACACATAAACAAATAATTTAATCTAACATATTTCAATAACATTATTGTTTATTATTTATTATAACGCCTTGCTTTATTAATACATTAATGAAAGTAAACGCATGTAATAACAAATAATAACAATAAAACTCAAGGTCCTAATACCTAATATATTTATATATTATGTAGGTAATATTACTTTATTTTCGTTTAAAACATTAGATAAAAGTCCCTACGGGAAATGAAAAAACCGCTCTTTTTCAAATTATGTTTAGTATTTTAGAGCTAGGGTTGCTAAATTGGATTTACTTGTCGCCTAGTTTCGTCTATGTTTCGATTTTAAGTAGGTACTATACATTTTGATAGCTACAAAGATCATTCGACTTAAGTCATGCCCTCGGTTGCTATACACTCTAGATGGAATGTTAATTGATCTTATAAGTCCCCACTTGCTAGTTGCTACTTATATTAGTATGTATTGCGTACACAGTAGATGCTAATGTTAATTGATAACAATTACTAACGACACCACAGAATAACTAGAAGGGAAGCTTTACAAAAATTACATACGTTCTTATAAGCCGACAAAAAAGGCCAGCTGCCATATTGTTTTTGCGGCTGGGAGCCAAGCTATAATAGATAAACTATAGATAGTTCGAGAAAAAACACAATTAAAAAGAACTATATTATATAATATTAAAAAGTTCTTTATAATCGTGAGAAAAAATCATGATAATAATTGTACCTAATCCGCAAAAACAAAATGTTAGACACTGGTACCGGCATAGGCTTCCCTTCTGGTTATTCTATGTCAACAAACGATAGTCATATAGTGATAACTGATAAGGAACAGCATAATATAGGGATTGTCTTGTATTCGGATTTCGGTGTTGATATTATAATATCATTGTTATTCTGACACTGCTTTGTTAAAACGTTACAGATTATTATTATTATTATTATATAATATACTATGTATTTAATGTTATTAGTACACAACACTTGTGTGATTCGTTTATTGTTTGGTTATTCATTTTCGAACTGATTTATACCGTACTATACGACTATTTTTCACGTCGTTGATTGACAATTTATAATAAAACGTTATAATTTACTTCAATTGCAATACGCTTACAGGTATGTTATTGTAGGGAGATCTGTGTTTGCATTAGGTATAAATTATTAATATTACACTTGTTTTTTAGGCTTTAAAATGTCTGATACGGATTCTATAAAAACAGACAGATCGCAAACGGATTTGCAGCAAAAATATGATAAATTAGCTATGGAGTTTGCTAAAGTAATGTTTACTGATGTTTTAATATTTTTATTTTTATTTTTTTTGCTAGCGATCGAAAAATGAACGGTGAATTTTACGTGCTATACATGTTACTGTAAATTATCACTTGTTTTTCAATTGCTTACCTATGTCTTGAATAGGTATTTAAGTTTGAATAAATTATGTAATTACTGCCGCTAATACTGTTATCATTTAAACTTTATTTCGCTAGTATTACATTGTCGTGAATATAATATAATTTTATTGGCAATTGAAAGCGAGGGTTAATCAAGGTGAGTGGGATTAACCTGTTTCAGTTAGTGCTGCGAAAAACACGTAAATAATGGCCCAGCACACCCGTTACAATGATAAGCTTTTTATACTAATATCTTTTTATTTATTTATTCTAATATTGTCATTCAACAATTACGCCTATTCAATATTATATAACCGTACTAATGGTATTAATTCGTCAAATTTTTATACAATATTATTATGTATAATTATTATTAATACCTTGATATAATGCCCTCGACCAACACTAAATGCTTCAACCCAGTACCAACTATTCCAAACTTAACCGTTACAGTGTAAATAAAAAAGCAACAATAATAATATTTAAAAGAAATTATACCAGAATAAATTTAATAAGAATAGAGTAAAATTATAATTTAAAATTGGTGTTTTTGTATAAATTCATTTTCAGGTTAGAATGCAATTAAACGTATTAAAAAAAGCGTATACTTCAAAAGTTTCAAAAAGTGATAAAAGAAGCATAGATTCTCTTGATCAAGTATTTACTGATAACTATATAACCTAGATTTCAACAATTGACAAAAATATTAACGATAAACATATTTTTATATTTTCAGTTAGAAGGTTGTAAGTATGATACAATGTCAACAAATAGTTTGGAATTGCAAGATGACTACAATAAGTTAAATCAAAATCATTCTAAAGTAAGAAAGTGCAAATTTGTATTATTACATCTCATTTCTACATAGATTTTACATAAATAATATAAATTGTTATTAAATAAAACAGTTGAGGCTAATTAAACATTTTTAATTTTAATCTATTAATTCTGGATTATACAATTAAACATTTAAAAATGATGTCTATGAAAAATCATTACATTTTTATAAAGCCATTAAAAAAAGTTAACAACAAAAAAATTATTTTTGGTTTTATAATAAAGTTGATTGTATATTGTAGTTATTTTAAATGAAGTATACATTTTTTTTAGGTTGATTTTAGTAGTCAAAATGATACCTTTATTATTAAATCACTTCAATTTTAATTTAAACGTATATTTAACTAGCTAAATTGTTCTTACTTTTTTAGCTCAAAGGAGTAGAGGAAGTCAAGTCAAAAGACTTCTTACTTCTTAAACAAGATGTTAGTTCAATGAACCATTGTATTCAAAGAGTACTAGAAATAACTAAACCGGATAAAATTGATTATAATGTAAGATTTGAAATTTTAAGTTATAATAATATCAACGGTTGTACATTATTCATTGTTTTTAGCCAATTTTGTTTATGTATTTAGGTTATTATGTCGGAGATTGAATATTGCAAAAATGTACAAACTAAATATCCTAGCAAGTATTGTGATATTCTTAATAATGAATTATCATCGCTGAAGAATTCAGTAAACACGTGCTTACAAAATATATTGTACTATAAACTGGAGTCTAGAACAAAAGTGAATGCTGATGACGTCCGTCTTAATTATCCCCACCATTGCAAGTTTCTAAAGATTTACGCAAAATATTATTTTATTTTTAGTATTCTTTTTTTTTTTTATTATTATTAAATTACATGTCAAAATTCACTTTTAGATTGCTTGGAAAATGACTATAAACTTGATGAAAACAGATGGAAAAAAGTATTTGTTACCTTGGTAATACATTTTTTTTGTTCTTTCGTGGAAGATTTTCATCGGCTTTTAGAATACTTGCTGAAAGACCTTAATACCAAAGTAAGTGTTTTGCTGTAAAAACATATCATTTCTTTTTTGTGTCTGACCAACTGAAAATTTAGTTGACCATTGAAATATTTGTACACTTTATTATTCATTTATACTTTTTTAAAAGGATGATAGTCAGCGTTAGTATCATACTTTTACTAAAATTGTATTTCTTAAATTATTATTTTTCTGAAATATATTAAAAACCAGACATTTTATAGACTGTAGAATATAATTTTTCTTTAAACTAAAATTCAAAATCTAATAATTTTACAAAATATGGTAACTTCATCTACAAAGTAATTTTTATCATTCATTTGCTATATAAAGTAAGTTATTTAATAAAGTAATATAACAGTTAAAGTAAGGTATTTAATCTTAAATTTTTGAGCACAGTTAAATGTTTTCCAAAAAATATATTCTAAATATTGGTTATTTTTTACTACTTAATAAATAACTAGAATAAACCACAATAACCAAGTATATAATTGTTGATTATAAATACTTAAAGCACTATTAACAATGGATATTACAGTCTGGTGAACGAAAAGTGGCTGCTCACAAATGTTTTCAACAATTGAGTCGCCTGTCCATTAGTAAATATCTGGCGTTACACTAGCCATACACTGACAATACAAAATATTTGCTATACACTCTACGAAAATCCGCCGCTAGACGCATCCATATCAGTGGCCATTTTTCATTCACCCTACTATAGTGTGGGCCTATTTTATTTATGTTAATTTACAATGTTTACATTTTATTTTAAGGCTTTAACTAGTATTCAAAAAAATGTTGAATCATTATTAAATCAATCCAATACAGATTCGTTAATTTTGGAAAAAATTAAAATTTATTGTAATGATTTGAAAAAAATAACGTAAGTACATTAAAATTAGATTTCATCTAAAAATATTTTGTTTATATTTTAATACTATTATGTGTAAATTAACTGAAAATTATTTTTAGGTTTACGGGAGAGAATACTCTTATGGAAAATATTATATCTTTTATGTCAAATAAATATATGGATTTTGTAGAATGTGTTAAAAATTTAATAAAATCAGGTACACTTCATTATTATTATTATTATTATTATTATATTATGCATTTATAAACAGTGAAATGTTATTTTATTGTATGTTAGATAACACAAATGATGTCCTTGATTGCGGTTCATTACGCCAGAGTATCATATCGTTAATGGTATTAAAGTTTCCTATTAAAGGTAATTTTATGTACAATGAAGAAATATTTAATAAATACATTTTTTAACAATATTTAATAATATCTCTTACAGCAATATGAATTTGATTGTGGTTTTTAATAGTTTGTTAAAAGGCACAATTTTGTTATTTATTATGCTTAAAATAATACATTTCAATATATTTTTGAAAATAATTTGAAATAACCATGCGTAATATTAATGATTATTGCAAAATCCTTCTTTTTTTTATATAATACTTAATTGTAAAATGTATAAATGTGATGGCAGTTATGAAAAAAGTATGGAAAATGTATCTTTATTATACATCTGTAAACATTTGTTAAATATGTAAAATGTATACTAAGTTTTAAATTTAAATAAAAAATCTTTTATATAACATACATTATAAAACATTAAACATTTTCTGATAGTTGAAATATTATTTAGACATTTTGGGAAAACAATATTTCAATTTTTTTAAGTAATACTATGGTATTGAGTAGTATTATTTTTATTCTTATTGCACTACTCGTATCATTTATGTCGACTTACAGAACTATTAGTATTGTATTTAAATTACTCAAATTACATAAAACTGTATACTAGCAGCATCATGCAATATAAACTTTTCTGCATTATTATTTTTGCCTAATTCTCTTTGTTACATTCATCAAAATCATTACATGGTCTTTATCATCCAATATCATTTAAATAACTTATTTAAACTACGCTTCTGATATATTTTCTTAAGGTAATTATTTGTTTTATTCTTGATAGAACAATTAAATTTTTATAGCTTATTTGTCCTATTTATTATTATGATACATCATTTTTACGATTAAATAAGAAGTAAAAATGATTAAATGTACAGCTAAACATAATGAATAAACATTCTGCCCCTTTCCCACAAATTTTGTTGTAAAAATTAAGAGCTACAATGTAATACAATAAATAAGTATCAATTGATTTTGGTCAAAATCATTTTTTAAACAATAGTATAAGTGTAAATTTAGATTAGATTGTACTTTGTTAAACATCATTACCAATATAGTTTCTTTGTTTTAGAATTAACATCAAATGAAGAGCTCTGGAACGCAAAAGATATCACTCATAAATTAAATGTTATTTATAACACTGCCCATACGGTATGCACAAGTATTAGTTAAAATAATATTTTTGAGAGACAAGCACATACTTTGAATTAGGGTTCTTTTAGACATTTGGCCATTTTGGTGTTTGAAAATAATTGAATTAATATTAATACAGTATAAAATAAAATAAATTTAATTAAAATTATCTGCTTACATTGAATTATATCGTATTTTTCAGACTTTTCAACATTTTATGTAGGCGTTTATCTACATTTTTAAGCTTTTTAGATGAAAATAAACCTTGGAATAATTAGTTATTTTATAATAATCTTGACAAGCATGAATACTACTATTTCTAAAACTAATCTACGACTACTAGCTTCAGCATTAATGTTCGATATTGCCCATTTATAACTCAATCAAAATATCTTCTCTGCGATACAATTAAATTATTATTACTGACGTACTTAAAACTGTATTTTTAATCTGCTAAATATCTAATCACAAACATCACTGTGATTTAAGTATAAATATAATTTTAGAAACCTCAATTTTATTTTCAACAGATACAAATGTTAACTTACATTCTACTTAATTTATGTTATGACCAAATATTTGTAGTGTTTTTGAAATTTTATGTCTTGTGATAAACAATTTGAAGAAATATCAAATACCTTCTAACTGAAATAAAGCATTCATAATGTTTCTTGTTAATCATAGAATAAATTTGCGACTAGTTAAATTCAAATCCTGCTTAAAATAAAATTAAAATAGTTTCTTCTAGTGAATCTAGTGCATTCTCTTTAGTGTTAATTCTTAACAAAATATTATTTGGTTATAGCTTCTACGAGCGATCAATATCCTGGAATTTGAATACTTTTATACAAATAGTCAAATGGATATGCACTGGCATTTGAAAAATTTGTTGTTACACGCCAATATATCAAAAGAAGTAAGTGGAAATTAAGATAAATAAATAAAAAATCTATTTAATACAAATGTAAATAATATTATTCAAGGCTAAAAAAGACTTGACATCCCCTTTAATTGCCAATGAATGTTTTGAAAAAGCATTAAAAATTTACAATGATAAATTGAATGAAGAAATGGACAAGTCGAAACAGTTAGAAAATGAAAAAATCCATTGGGAGACTGAGTATAAATTGTTGCAACAAAAATATGAAAAAGTATGTTATAATAAATTTGTATTAGTATACATATAAATTGATAATTAAACTTATTAAATATTTCAAATATTTAGGTAACAATTAGTGCTCATGATGTTGGTTCTAATGGATTATTTACTATTGAAAATCAGGTGAAACTTTCATTTCTTTATTTTTAATTACTATTTAACGTTGTCACAGTTTTTTTTTATTCACTATTTTATTTTACCACAGCTTCATATCTAAACTACAAGTCTAGTTTCTACTTCATTTCATAGCAAAACAATTTTTTATAAAAAATGTTCAATAAAAAGAGATATAAGTGATAACATTTATATATGAGTATCTTTTTTAGTAATTCAATTCTCAAAATTAAATATTAGTATATTTTATCTAATTTTTCGGTATTATCAAAGTTTGTTAATACATAAATTTTAGCTCCTAAAATAGCTGGTAGAAATCAAGTGATTAAAAGTAAAAAAAAATCTTGAAAGGTGTACAAGTGCCTGCCTGACTTGTAGGTCTTCATAATAACATATATGTTATGGTGACTGCTAGCATAAACCCCATAATTTTGTATATATAAATTTAATCCTTTTTTTTAGTATCTTATTATTGCTAGTGTAATTTAACATTTACTAGACCACCGTGGTAAATCTTTTCCTTAGCAAGATATTTTTTTACAACTCACTATATACCTAACTTAACCTGTAGAGACATGGATAAGCTACTCCTATATTAAAACTATTTGGGGCAGTGGTTCTGAAATAAAGGGGTAGCATTTGAGGTCCTCTTTAGTACGGAATGAATACAGCCTATAATTCTTATCATTTTGGTGGATACGTTGCACTCGTGTGTATGTAAAAAATAAAAAGGTGCTTTTCTATCGTAAAATACACTTTTTATCTTGAAAAAAACTGTACATACATATATATTTTTTAACTAATACGTTATCTAAGCAAAAATAGTTAAAATATCTATGTGTTCGTTAACCTAAGTCTGCCAATTTCATCAACCTTATAGTTTAGTATTTGAAAATGTTATAATTTGTATAATATTCTTTCATAAATACTAAATATTAATGTTCTATTTAGTTAGGAAAACTCGAATCGTCTGTACAGTTAAGCGACGAAATCATTGCAAGAGAAAATGAAACAAAGATGTACTTTGAAAATAAAATTAACGAACTTGTTCATGTTAATAAACAGTTATCAGGCCAAAGTAACACTCAAAAAATGGAGGTTAGTAGTTAGAATGATTTATCGTTTTAAAGATTATTATTATTATGTATTGTTTATATTTTGTTAAGATTTCGGCATTGCGCACAAAGCTTGACCACAGTGTCCTAGTGCGTAGCAAGTTGGAAGTGAAGTTACAAGATGCATTGGAACAGATACAAGAACTAAAAGAAGAATTTCATTTGACTACTACAAATTACGAAGCTCAACTAAGGGCTTTGACTGAACATTTAGCCAGCTTAAATGAGACCGTGATATTGGAGCGCAAACATATTGATGATCTCAATTGCCAATTAAAAACAAAAGGAGTAAGTAGACAGTTAATGATTATGTGATGTATAAGGTATCACTTGTTAGAGAGAATTGACGGACTGTTTACTGGTCGACAAATTGTCTAGTGAGAGGGATTCGCACCAATTACAATTTTGTACTTAGTTAAAAAGATTTTAACAATAAAATTGCAGCTATTTATCCAAGTAATTTAACTGACGTGTTTTTGTTGTCTAGGACAAGAAAAAACCATCAAAATGAAGTATTTTACTGTCAATCTCAGTATTATATTACTATTGTATATTTAATTATTAATCACCGTTGTATTGTAGATCGTTTTACATTTCCCTTTATACATTGCTAATTATTGTATAGTATATCGACAATCACAACAAAAAAGGTTGTATCTCAATATTTTCTAAAACATTGAAAAGTCAGAAAAATTACAAGATAGAAAAATCTAAAAAATTGAAGAAAGTAAGATACAACCTTTTATGTTGGGGGTATCAGTATCATGTAGGTACATCGTAAAAACTATTATTTATTTAGAGTCATACCACCTATCAGCGTTAAGCCATTGTGATACATATTTATTTTTTATTTTACAATATCATTCCACTTATACCATATTAATTATATTAGTTATTTTTAATGTTATATACTTGTTAAACTATTTACTCATTATTGTTACATACTCATGCTAGATATCTAGTTATCTAATAGTAATAATTGAACAATATATCATGTTTATAAGGACAACATTTAAAACATGTTTTGTTGCGTGTAATTGTACTAACATATTAAAATATAATAATGGGATTTAACTACTACTAAATAAGGAATAAAAAATATTCCATCATGCAAGTTTTGTAACTAAATACAAATATTCATATCTATAAAAAAAAACCATATTATACTGTGCATAATAAGTTATTACTTATTGTTATTATAATAGTCGATGAACTAGATAATTATATAAGTGTATTCTAATAAACAATATTTTATGATTATCAGTTGACTTTGCACGTGCAAATTTATTCAATAATAGCTAATTACATTAAGTTTATTTTTTTTACTTTAAGTAAGTACATAAAACAGTTGTAAACACATAAATATAACACGAAACGTATATAAATAATTTTACATACATAATTACCAAACTACATCGGTTAAAATACAATTCAGCGTTTTGTCTGGCACGTTGACGCTGCAATGCAATCACCGCAATAGTCTACAAATTGTTCAGCTTTTATAGTTAACAAAATTCAAACGGTGTAGGTAACGGCTACACCGATAAACTAGAAAGTATACATACGGGGGGAGGGAGTATTAACGTGGTGTTACAAAATGCTTCACTTAATTTTTCAAAAGTAAATGACAATTAAAAAAAAAAAAAAACGTTATCAAATAATGCGGTGAGCACGGCTTATGATGCGCTCGTAGCCCACCGCAATTGATTTTTTTACAATAAATTATCTTTTATTTTTTTTTTTTTTAATTAAAAACCGAATAACGATTGTGTCAGCTAAAGACGATCCTACGAACACGCCATATTGTCATTATTTGGCCATAACCGCGACATCACCATTTGCATGCTCGTCTGTAATGTGTTCTCAATATATTCGGACCTTATTTTGAATCCGGGGAACAATAGAATTACTAAAACTAAACTCACAAAAAAAGAAATACAATTAAATTACAAATAGATATCAATGTTCGTATCTTCTCCAAGTTGAGGCATACTAGTATAGTTATAGCAAGGTTTATAGATATCTATAAACCTTGCAGTTATGAACATATTATTATGCAACAATTCTTTACAAATTATTGGAAAACTATAAATTTAGATTATTTTGTGTCAGATAGGTATCTATAAACCAAAAAAGAGAAACTGGTTGGAAAACATATAGATCCCCTTGTACATTAAAAAGAGATAGCAAATATAACAATTAATTTTAGATTAATTTAAATAAAATTGTTTACATACCTGTTATGTATGATACGAATAAATTATTAAATGTCATCCCGACGTACAAAAGACTGAAGAACGACACGGCCAGGACAGAGTGAAACTAAAATCATACAAATAAAAAAATATACTTATAATAAAATATCATTATTATTAATATGATAAAAAAAAAATTCCTACATTTTTAGTAATTATTAGGTTCAACGCTTGGTACTAACTACTAAGTATAGGTGTAAATTTTGCTTTCTTAAAAATATCAAATCAAACAGATCAATGGCTATAACCTAATATCTAATACCTCTATAAAAAAAAACGTTTTTAGTTTCAAGTAAAATTTAAACTATTGTTTGATAATAACTGTTTGTATTTATCTATTAAAAATACTAAAATAAACAATGGTTTAAACCTTTTTATTCATTCGTATAGTTACAATAAAGTGTCAAACTGTAACTCTAGTCTCGGTTAAATAAGAAAGAGTTAACTTCTTAAAATATCTCTGCATTTTTGTGGATATATTTTGAAATGTATTATTAACTATACAATTTTTTTAATGAAAAATATATGTAAATTATTTTATTTTTAGAATGCTAGATATTGATAATTATATTAAAAAAATAGCTCACTTAATTCTTAAATCTAAAATCGAACACACTCAACACTAGATATAAGAATACCTACTTGTAAATATGTATGCTCAAAAATGTTATAGTACTTTTGGCTCCGGTTTTCCACTTAATACAAAATACTTAGAAGAAAATAAATAACACACGTAGGTAGATATACTATTTTCTTGTATTTACAAATGAGACTTAGTGAACCTATAGGCTGTTTCTTAGTAATTCTGAATTATCCATAGAAGAGAATAAATTAACAGAAGATGACTAGAAATAGACCATCAAAGATGAAGAATCTAGTACAAAATATGGCAAAAAAAACTAACAAGAAATAGGAATAACTGTAAACATTTTAATGAGTCCTTACAATATATGTATAACGATGGTGTTTAAAAACGAGTGTCAAAAAAAATGGAGACGCCCGAAAAAATTAAACACCTAACTAATTAAGCAAATAATTACTACCCACTATGGAGTATTGCAGTTTACCTGTACTTATTTAGACTGAGTTTTATTAGTATATAGATAAATGATAATCGTATGCTCACCAGCCTCGTGTTGGTCTGTCTGAGTTTGAAAAATCGCTCCACGTATAGTCTGAACGTGACGTAGTAGTCGGTGACGGATTCACACACGACCGTGTACGCTTGTTCCTTATTTTGGTCCCAAATGTTTGGCGGCAAGAGCTTCTGGAAAGGACCGCACATGAAGCAGTCCAACAAAGTCACCAACAACCCGGTTGCCCAGATCATGTTTAACATCGAACAGTTCACTAGCCATACGTACCTGTCGGAAATGACCGGAAATAATTATAAACTGATTAATGGTAAATTATACCAGGTAACTTTGTTTGTTTTTAAAAAGCGCTAACAAAACTATTAAAATAAAATCATACTTTGAAAATGATGCTTAATTTTATTACTGTTATTTCTATATATATATACACCTAGTTACTAATAATAATCTCATAGTTTTAAGAAAGTGATGCGAATGGGTAGTAAGCGAGCAATTTGTTTTCCATTTTGTTGGCTCTTTTGAAAACATTTCCATGTGCCAAAAAAATTACCTATCCGCTCCTGTTAATTAATTTATATTCCCATTACTACAGGTATAATTTATACACCGTATTATAGTAATAGTTGTTGTTTGAACGCTTTGTTCTAAGCTGACCTAGATATTGTACAAATTATTACGTCAGAGCAACTATTTTAAACTTAAATTATTAATTTAATTAGATCGAGAAAATTACTACCTGTAAAAAATACGAACACCATGTTTCGTCTAACGATCGATACTTTATAAAATGCAAATATATTAAACAATTAGGTAAAAAAAAAAATAGGGTATAATATATTACTGTATCCTTCCATTTGAATTGTGACACCCCTCTGTATGGACAATAAATTATATTTTTGTGATGGCATAATATAATAAATATATTTTTGGAAAATTGACAAGTTTTTTTTATACTGACTACCAAACAGCAAACGATGTCACACGAAGTAACATATCTTGGATGTTCTGCATATTCAAATAAATAATATATATATATATATATATATATATTATATGTCTATGTTAGGTACGCTGTACCGCACTGAAATTAGTATGAACAATTAAAAAGGTACCTCTAATAGATATTTATTTAAATAAGACTTATTATTGACCCGAGTTGACAGATATTTTATTGAAATAACTCTAATATGTCGGACCGAAGAATAAGTGGACGGAAGTCGCCTCCGACAATCATCTCCTTGAAAATTCCTACCGGAAAAACATGGTATTAAAAATAAGATATAGTTAGGAACTCTTGAAGATTACTTAACAGGGAAATTACGAAAGTTTACAAACACATTAAAATACAAGTTAAAATATACATTTTTAAGTAACAATCATCATTAATCCTTGTGTTATTGTCTATTATAAGTGAAGATTGTATTTTCAGTATGAATAATCAATTTAAAATTGTGTATTTAGGTTTGCATTAGGTACTACATTTGTATTAAATTTAATGCGATCTACATGCATAAATAATTATAAGAAAAAGTGTCTTATTGACACTCAATTCTCTACAAAAACCCGTGCAGGAATATCCATTGGAATTAATACAACAGTTATCCGTATAATCTAGGGAATCAAGGTACTGCGGGGGGGGGGGTATTGATAATTGTATACAAATAAGTAATAACGACAGAAACGAAGCCTTGTCTATTAAAGTGTATCGTACCAGTCTTCGAAACTTAAAAGTCTGCTCAAAACTCATAAACGAAAATCGATTGTAGATTTCGACTTTTTATGATTTGTATATTTTTTTAACTACACAAACGCGTACTGGTGAAAGGAAAAATAATCTGGTCGGTACTTATTTTTTAATAATAAAAAATATTTATAGCTACAGGACACTGCTGTCGAGTAGACGGGGCAGCCTGATAACAAAGAATTTACGGGCCTCCATAATCTTTATAGTGTATTATATTATTACTCATTTTTTTTTATATCTGTAGGAAAAGAAAATCATTTCTAAACGACGGGTTATCATGTCAGAGCGGTCGCCGGTCATGTTGACGGTGGTTTGATGTGATGTCCACCTATGGCGTGCAGCAGTTGCATTATACATAATATTAAAGTAAAAAACCTACATGCATGTAGCTCTACGCCAACGTCGTTTTTCAGTCACGCCAATAAAAACATATTTAATTATAATTTTGGTAATAATATACATTATACGCCTTATCGGAACGTGTGTTATGCTTACAAGTACAACATTGAAACGCACGCCACTGTTATTGCGGGAAACCAAATTTTTTCCCAAGCCATTAACGCGTTCAATATTACTATGACTTCCCGCCACTCGTGCAGACGGTTTTTTAGTTCCTTCGAAATCCTTTCCTGGAACAATAACAAAAAAAAAATGATAATTTAGGCCATTAATTACGCGGTTAGTCAACCGAAAATACAAAAGCAAGCTAAAACAACTAAAGTTCATACTTAATGCATACAGCTGTGGAACCGGTTATACGGCTTATTTGCCTGCTAGATTTTTGTTTTTGTAGATTATCATAATTAGTATAAACAGTTTTTTTTTAACATTCTATTAGTCTATTAATTAAAATACATCTCTGAAAGCTTGCATGACAAATAACAACTTCCGGTCTAAGATATGTAAACATAATGCATAAAATATTCATTTAAAATAAATAAGATTTTTAAGAAATCAGAGTTATAACACTATCGCTGATTAATATAATACTATAAGTATAAAATATTAAAACAACACAAATCTTATGACAACATATTTGTATACGACATACGTTTGGCTCTAGTTTTAGATTCTCATAAAAAGGCTGACAGACGTATCATTCGTGTTAAGTCGATATCATTCGGTTCTAACCTGAGTGCAAAATAAGTAAAGTCAATTTTTACTGGCTAAATTTAACGAAAACCCCTTATGATAGTATTTTATACAAATTTAAATTGTGCTAGGCGATTATTACAAAATAAATGTTTGGAAACTAAAATGTTTCGAAAATAACAAACTATTAAAAACCTGATCAGACCGTTAGATCAAAGTTTGTTTTGTCTCTTATAAAAAGTTGTACAAAGTTAACTTTTTTATAGGCAATAGTTAAGAGAAAAAGGGTTTTAATCAATTTCGACCATGTCAATTAATTTACCGGTTAATTTGTATACGCTTCATGGTATTATTTTTAATTTAAATCATTTTTTCTATGAGTAAAAGCCAATTTAGTTAATATAATAATACATTTTTTGTCCATCGCACAGGCTGAACCAGCAATCCGATAACTAATCTGAAAACGGATTCGAATTCGTCATGAAGTTTACTTGAGATCGATCAGCATACTTTTCTAATATCTTATTCCCACTACGCATAAAACACGTTTGAACATTTTATAAAATTTCACAATTTCAAATAAAATTTGTAAACGGTTAAAAATTTTAAAAAAATACTCTGACCGATCTCAAGTGAACTTTATGAGGAATTCATATCTGTTATTAGATTTTTAATCGGATCACTGGTTCGGCCTGTGCGATGGACAAAAAATGATTTTTTTTGGCTGAAAAAACGGTCGATATCGAATCCTCTTTAAGTAGTAATGTATTGTTTGAACTAGTTTTGCGAGCATATCGTCAGCCTATTTAGCAAAAGACGTACCTAAATCAATTTTCGGTACCTATATTAAAACTATTTGAAAGAAAAAAAATTGTTCGTCGGCTGGTATAATAATGATTTTATTTCAGTGTTTTTTTCCATGAAACGTGTGATGAACCGTAAGCAATTGTTATTGAAATAAATATAATAAATTTAACTTTTTTTCCTGTTAGTGTGAGATTTGGTATTTTGGTGTTACGCCCATTGCTGAATCAGCCTATGCAATAGGCCCATTGCCTATTTCATAGGCTGACGATATATCTCAATGAAATACCTATGTAAAATTATATATTTTTCCAATTATTATAGTTTTATGATGTGTACACTACTTGTTAAGCCACACGAGTCCATTTTTTTAAAAATTCATTTTTTTTTCAAAATTGACAAGCTAAGCAGTAATGTGGTAAGAATTACAGTAAGAACAACACTAAACCTTTATGTTATTAATTTACGTCTAACGTCATGATAATAGAAAAATTGTTAATCTTTATCACTGTTATATATTTCAATTTCTTGTTTAGTATTATTTAAATAATCAACTAAAAATCTTTGTTATGGACTAGTTTTAAAAATTACTGTTGAAAATAGGGCAAATTATACCTACCCTTTTAAAAGGCCTAAAATTATCTAATTCACTTCAGAACTAATACAGATAATCATAATAGTATATCAACCAGTAATTATTTACCAGAACAAAATTCAAGTACTCGTGTATACCTAAGAGTTAAATAAATAAACTGGTATTTAAACCTTTTAAAATTTGACACTGTTCTAAAAGAAAAATACTGTTTTATACTAAATAAAAACCTGTATACTCCTAAAAATTGAAGATGTAAACTTTGAGGAACAAATTATTAATTTTAAAAAATGTACAGATTTTATACTTAAACTATAACTATCAGTATTTAAACAATATATTATGAAAATATTCAACTATTATGTATAAAATTCCTAATTTAAATTAAATCATATGTCATTTTTAAAAAAATGCATTTAAATGTAAGTAGATATAACTAAAGTAAATCAATCAACTTTTGATGTTCAAAATATTTAAATAAATTTAAAAAATTTGACTAACGTAATAGAAATTAAAAAAAAGTTGAATATGCACATATTTCTTTACATTTATTTTTTATTAAATCATGTTATTATCGAAGTATAATTTTTCGCCATTTTTTTAACAAGAGCAAAGTTTTTTATTAAATTTTTATTTGCCAACAAATTATTATTATTAATATCAAATATTAACTCAATTTGAATCTCAAACAAACGTAGGTAGGCGTTTTTAATTTCTATTAGACAAAACATAATTTTTAAAAAAATATTTTTAAATAATTGATTGTTTAAATAGTTTAGAAATAAAATAAAATAATTTAATACAACCAAACACAATATTATTTATTCCTAAAAAATTAATTTTAAAATAAAATATAGATGGGACTGATAGTCAGGTTATTTTCAGTACATAGTCTAGTTTAAATTCATAACTAGAATTTTAATACGAAAAAATAATGTTTTGAAATGGTATTTAAAAATCAAATTTTCTAGTAATGTCTGCCTTACATAATGTACGATTATGTTAAATTGAGAAATGTATATCTAAAAAAAAGTTTTCAATTGCAAAAAAAATATGTTAAGTTATGTAGGTAGACATTTTGTATAATATTGAACGCAAAAACAATACAATTATGAATAATTATTAACCAAAATGTAAAAACTGTAAAAATGTACAACGCCAGAAGCTAGTCGGTTAAAATCTACAACCCACATGACATTATATATATTATTTTAAGCATTTTAATATTATTAAGCATTGGAACCGCCAGTAGGTATCTATTATTGCTATGCAAATATTTATTATTAAACAAAAAAAAAATTTGCATAAAACTGTGTTTGGACCGATGCTTTTTTTTATAGGTAAACAATTAATATTAATTAAAATAACAGCAGAAAGCTCCAAGCGTGCCGCAATTCGATTTTTGTTGTATTATAAGCAATGTAAACATAACTCTAAAGTGTGGTCGACCATAGCTTTTAGAGGGTTAGGGTACGTCAGTACATAGTTGTAAACTGTACCTACAACAGTTATATTAAAATACAATTTGTTTATGACTGAATTTGAAGAAATAAACAAATAAAATAGTAAGTGATGATTTTAATTGATAATTTATACTCAATAGCTTAGCGTCATCGCCGCGTCTGCCTGGTCGAGTTGGTAACATATTTTTTTTTTTTTTTTTAAATGCGATCAAAAGGATCTAGCGAACGTGGTTAGTACAAACTAGTGTTCGAATGCTGTAAGGCTGTGAACATTTTTTTTTTTTGTATGATAATATCGTCCGTCTAAAGGCGAAGCGAAATAATGTGGTTGGTTTGAATCATAGAGCTGTTTTTTCTCTTGCGAGCGTTTTCTTTTGAACTGAGTGTTATGACCCCCTTTGGTTGAAGGTTACCGGTATTGTATTGGCCAGCAAGCATGTTAGTGACGGCAGAACATAAAAATGATTATTATAACTATTAGGTAAATCAAAATGCGATATCGTACCTTTTCCAACAAATCGATGCACTCGGCGTCGGCCATATTGTCGTTATTCCGTCTGGTTTTTGATGTTGTGGTAAGGAGACTCTCTTGTCGGTCTTCAAAATATAGGTATGCAAAAGACCATAAAAAAAAAAAAACAAAATACCAATATGTTTGGCCGCCGCAGATTAAAATAAGAAGCCAGACACAATCAACGTTCTCGAAAACGGTGTATGGGGTAAGTATAGAAACAAACGAAAAAAAAAAAATTGGTGTTTTAAACGGTACTTAATCGCTTGTGCGTGATTCCTTCTTTTGAAAAACGCGTCGAACACACGGTATGTAGGATACTACTGCCGGGGCGAAACGGATCAAAAGTATACTAGAAAAAACCTAACTGAACGCCGAGCTATTTATAATAAATTTCCTGTAAAACACGTTCGGTTTTATCTGTATTCCAAGTCCTAATCGTGTCTAACGGGCACGCCGATAACACAATAAAAGCCTACCCAAACGTGGCCACGGTTTTATTTTATTGCCCCAATGAAGTCGGTATAGTGCGGACGACTCGTCCCGTTATCGGAATTATCGTTCAACAAATAGGTGTATTAGGTGTATCACAATATTATGTACAGTTGATTGACCATAATAAACCATAATATTATATTATTATTATATACGATTGTAATCACGTAATATTGAACAAAATCATTTTCAACAATCTCGAAGGGCATCCACGTCGGTCAGCTGTTGTTGGTCATAGTAATGAGGCGTCTAGTTTGAAAACCATGTAAAAGAACATTTTTTCTAAACGCGTTCTTATAATACTGTATTTCCTAAAATATGGTCACACTGTTAATTACGTCGTTTGTGAAATAATCTAGACAATTTGTTCAGCTATTAATAATACATATTATCTAACAACTGCCCATCCCAAAAAAAAAAAAGAAAAAATTGTTCATCGATACGAAAAACATGTTTTGCTATAAAAACTAAAGATATCCATAATTGCAAAAAAAATCAAATCGCTTGTCGTGGAGTCACGCAGTATTTGAATACATGACGCATAATATTTATAATCATACGACACAATTTGTAGTGTACAAATAATTAAAGCAAATATCCGAGGGGACTCGATTTAGCAATAATGTAATATTTAGTAATTGACAAGACCAAGTGCCTTTACCGAGTACCCTATTCGAGCAAATGACATAAGTTATTTAAAATGATTTACATTGCATAACCTCATTGACTTAATGTGAGTTTAGTCATGACTAAAATAACATATAATAAGCGACTTATAATAATTAAAATGTATAATAATTAATAAATGATTAAAAGTCAAGCACAAAAGGCTTGTCGCTTCCGAGATCGTCAACGCATAGGCACAATATATTATATATAATATTATGTTCCATGCTCTATATTTCAGTACAACAGTCAACATAATATTATAACATAGGTAAGTAATAAAATAAAATATTTTATCATAGTATCGTATATTTCTGCTATCGTTGTTCTGCCTAAGATAGAAACACGGTTAGCATTAACCTGTCAATTGAATTTAACCAATGAAGTCTTGACATTATCGTTCATTGTGTGTGAATTGTGAAATATGATTAACGATAAACGGTTTATCTTTTATACGGAGTTGAGAATGTACTGTTTATACAATGAAGTGTATTTATTTTTTATTAGTAACGACCCTCGATATCTTCTAAACCGCTAAGCCGATTTATTCGTATAGCAACTCTATAGATCAGAAATCGTACCTGAAAGGTTCTTTATTGGATTGGTAATTCAAAAGTTCATTCATCTCTTTAAAAATCGAGAAAGACGCCCAAAAAATGTACATATTTTTCAACTTAAAATTCGGCGTTCTACAACATTTTTAAGGATAGTCGAATCAGATTCAAATTTGTATGAAATATTCTTTAGATGTTTAAGTACTACCGATTAACATTGAAAAGGGTTCAAAAGGTCTAATGCCATTTTTTGGCAAAATTGAAACGGACTACTAATTGATAAAACACAGTACAAAAATGACAATCTCAGAACAAGTATTGATTAATGATTAGTTATAATGAATTTTGTAAAAAAATTACACAGACCTTCATTGCAAATAAAAGTATTAAGAGTTGTATGCTTAAAGTTGTAAAAAGTAGAAGTGTCCATTTTAAAACCAAGGTACAATTGTATATATATTTATAATACATATATTATATACCTATGTATATTTATATAATTTTGTTTTTGACAGTTTGACCGGTGCCTTTGTCGTTTGTTAAATTTAAGTGGCACTACAGACACCATGTGTTGCCACTGTTGTCACGATTATGAATGTAGACTACTAATTACAATTGTCCCGTAAAATCTCAACTATTAACTACGAGTATGTATTATCAATTATGTAAATAATGTTGCATTTGGCGCGTGATTTGAATAAACAATATGAGGTTTCATAAAATCCCAATTAATATTTTAGAATCCGTGTGAGCAGATATTATCATTTCCGTATAATGACGACGTAATCCAATGTTTTTTTTTATTTATTTAAAAAGCGACAAAAAATTTCCAAAGTAGAAGAAAACGATAATTTAGCGCGGGACTTATTTGACTTTAATTAATAGCTTTTCGAGTACACTCAAAGGAATGTGCAAGTTGGTTTCTTCAAGTTCCGGTCTCGATACTTTTTTATAAAGCTGACACAACAACATAACATAAAATTTACTTAAAAACGCGATAAATCAATAAAATAATCATTATTACAAAAGCTTTACCTACGTCTGTGGTGGAAAATCATTTGTTTTGACTTGTGTGTAGTTTTGTTACTTAGTGGTTAAATTCGCTCCTCGGTTTATAAACTTGTACCATATCGTGTAGTCCTATATTATTTAGTTTAAATTATTACAGTGGATTGGCTTGTGTTTCTTTAATTAGAGCACATAAATACATTAATTATGGAATTAAACTCAGCAGACAGTGAAAAATTACGGCCAGCGTAAAGCAATAAGTAAGTACGGTGTTATAGCGGGGTCAGATTATTATGTATATTTGAATTTCTATTATTTACTAATATGTATACATATTATTATCAAAAAAAAAAAAAACTTCAAAACAATTGTTATCGTTTGCATGAATTAACAATTAAATTAAAAGTCTGGCACTAGAAGAAATATAAAATAATTGTTTTTTAATTTCTTGTCGATTTTTTGGTCAGTTATTTAGTTTTTTACACATTCATTGTGTTGCGCCGCACAGTGGTCTAAAAGCTAATTTAGGTGGAATAAAGTCAATAATTAAAATTCATAAAAATAGGTATTTTATGTTATTAACCCATTATATATAAGTTCTATATAACAAAAAAATAGAATTTCAGATAATATTAACATTACCAAGCGGCGCAAGCGATAAGTAAAACATAATAACGCGCTCACAAACGTCGAATCGTTCACCGATTGTACATTACATTTTTTTAGTATATTATACACAGGTAAACTTTTTTTTTTTTTTGTTTGAATTAGTTTCATATAAGTAATGAATTCGAAAACTTAGGTAAGTGTTTCATATTAATATTATAAATATTTATTATTTTACTATTAAAACAAAGTTAAAAAAGTAGTAAAAAAATGTTAATATTGATATTTCAAAGCGTACAACTAAAAAATAACCCATAATAATCGTTATTCAATATATATATACAATATAGTACTTGTTCTTCAGTACCAGATCCCAAAATTTGGTTTGCATCCATTTGCATCTGTATTTTTAATCATTTTTTTTGCAGGTAGCTCTAGCGGCAGTGTTGGAATAAATGATTCTGAAATTGACGACAATTTGGATTGGAATAACACTGATTCTCGGTATTATTCTTATAATGATTTTTATCAGCTATTAAAAAATAGAGGTCCACTAAATCCCCATTTTTAAAAATCGAGAAATTATTTATTTGAAATTTTGAGGGCACGGTATGAAAATGTAAAATGGGAACCGCAATACACATTAAGTTAGTCAACCATTCAATTTTAAGGTTTACTTTGGTTTTACAAAGACTTTGGCGTAAAAGCCATTATAAACTTTATTATAATTAACTAATGTAATATGAACATTTTTAAGGACAACTTTCCGAGGAAGCACAGGAAGCGAAATAAAGACTATAAAAATTATAGCGAACATCACTCGCGAAAAATTAGTAGAGTAGCTCAAAATGAAGACGTTCTACACTTATTACTTGACACTTCAGATCCATATATTTCCTCAATTTGCAACATACCAAAAAAAAAAAAAAAATGAATTGGACAATGACGTAAAATCGTTATTAAATTTAAGTTATGAAACATATGAAGAAGTTTACGAAAGTTAAATTTCAATTTAAAAACAAAATATTATGTTTATTTGCATCTTACAATTATACGTGAATTTAAAAATTGATATAAATTTTGAACTCTTTGACCCCAAAAACATTAAGTACCACTTTTTTATAATTTTTTGGACAAAATCTGAGGAAAATTTGATCAATATAAGTTTTTTCCACCTAAAATTGCGTTTCAGACCACTGTGCGCCGGCTTCAAAATTAAGTATAAAAAGTTTTTTAAATTTGTGTTAACAAGTAATTGTATATTAGCCCATAAGTTCTATAGAGGATAACTATAAAAAAAAAATCGGCTAACCATAAAAAAAAATACTTAATACTTTTCTAAGTGTCAGGCGTCATTTAATTGTCAATTCAATTTTTACCAATTTTTTTTAAGTAGGTTTTCTTCTGTTACATACTTAGGAATTCATCTTGACAAGCGACTAACCTGGGCTACTCACATCAAAACTAAAAAGCTATCTCTTAAATTAAAACTCCATAGCTTAAGGCATCTTCTTCGTTCAAACATTTCTCCTAATAATAAAATCCTCCTATACAAACAACTTATTCGTCCTGCAATAACCTACGGCATCCAAATTTGGGGAACGACAAAAACCTCAAATCTAAATTTATTTCAATCCTTTCAATCAATTAACCTCCTTCTCCTAACTAACTCGCCGTGGTGTGTAAGTAATCGTACTCCATCACGACCTCAGTATTCCTACTATTCCTGTTCTTGCATCCACTCATTATAAAAAATTCCACTCTACCACTATAAATCACCCGAATCCACTGACATCCAATATTTCTTCTCTTACTCTTCCAAACAATCCTCCTCGTCGATTAAAACGAAATTGGCCACGCGACCTTCTCAATAACTAAAAAAAAAAAAAAATCAAAATTTTTTTAAGGAATTCAAAACAATTATAATTATGTAATTAAATCTAGTTGAAGTAGAGTTACTGGGCACCCCCTTCTTTCACGTTGTCCTGTCATTGTATTATATTTTTTTTTCAAATTTACTTACTGTAACTA